CGAGGGAGGCTGTGAGGGCCGTCAAGCCGGGCAGGACGTGACCGTTGGATAGGTCGAGGGTGGTGACGTCGGACTTGAATGCCACCTTGCCGACGGCCGCCGAGCAGTTCTCGGGCGTGCTAAGACAGGCGACCCTGCCGCTGTTGATCACAAGAGTAAAGTTCTCGCCGCTGACATCGCGGAAGACGGTGGGCACCTGGGGGTGGTTTTCCAGGAACGTGCTCGTGATACCGTTGATGACGAAGCTGGAATTTGCCTTTGTGGTCTTGTTGCAGAACGCATCCCTCTTCTCTGGCTCCAGCTCCGTTCGCATGTTGGGCTTCACGGGGAGGGACTCCTTGGCGGATGCTTCGTCAAAGGTCTTGCCCATGCTCTCCTGAACAATGTGGTGCTTCAGCTGGGGATTGCCATCAATGTACACCTGCAGGGGAGTCGCTCCAATGGACAGCGGGTGGGCATCCCAGACAACCAGATCCGCGTCGTAGCCAGGACGAGCGTAGCCAACGCGGTAGCCCAGGTCGATGGCCTTGGCGGGGATAGAGGTGACGGACTGCAGAGCCTTCTCTTCCGGCAGGTGGAACGCGTGGCCGACACCCGCTTGGAACATGATGTACTTTGCGTTCGTCTCGGGCGCGGTGTGGTCTGACTTGTAGGCCACGGGGATGCCATGCTCGTTGAGGATCTTGCCCGCGGAGAGGCTCGGTGCGTAGGCCTCGAACTTGTACAGACTAAACTCGGCAAAGGTGGCGACGGTGACGTTTCTGCACTGGTCAGTATAGTCCACAGGTGGAAGTTGGTCACTTACTCGCCGTACGCCTTGAGCATCTCGGGAACCTGCCAGGCCTCGAGGGCGTGATGGAAGGCCCGGACACGAACGCCGTACTCGCCAGTGACCCGGAGCATGGTCTCAAAGTCCTCTGGGAGGTAGCAGTGGTTCTGCATGGAGACTCGGCCGCGGAGCATGCCGACGGTGGACTCGAGCTTGAGGTCGGCGGGAAAGCTGCCAGACTCTCGGACGAAGCGGTCCTTGACCCCATCAGACAAGGTCGACACGGTGGCGACGCTCTCGCAGTACTCGTCCTGTTTCTGCATGTGCTCCTTGGCCTTGGCAAACTGCTCGCGGAGGATGAAAGCGTTGGCCATGCGGGTGTGGCCGTAGATGCGCTTGGGGTTCTCGCCGCAGGCCAGCTTCATGTAGCGATGACGCTCCTCGATGGGGATATCACGCTCAAGCAGCAGCTCCTCGACGACGTACTCGCCCAGCTCTCCCGACTTGAGGACGTTCTTGATCACGGTGCCCTCTCCACCCATGATATTGGCAGAACCCGGCAGGATGAGCGACGTGGTGATGCCGCCAGACATGATGATGCGAGTGGCGTCATCGTACGCCTTCATCGAGTCGAGGATTCGTAGCATCGGGGTGAGCGGGCCGTAAGTCTTGGTCATTTCGTTCTCGTCCTCGGTGACGGACAGAGCCGGCCACAAGCTGGCGGAGTGATGCGAGTGCATATCGACGAGACCGGGAGTCACGAAGCGACCGTGCAAGTCGTGCTCGGTGGCGCCATCAGAGCTGATGGACTTGGATGCCGTTGTTGCCAGCTCGGTGAACAAGCCCTTTTCAAATTTGATGTCCATTGGCTCGGAAGCAATGGACTCGCCGTCAAAGAAGGTCATATTGCGCAGCACCACCGGCGTATCTTGGCCACGGACAGCGTTCCATCTCGAATTGGACTTGCGGGACTCTGGCTGGGGGCTCTTGGGAAACGTCTTGAGAGCCGCGCAGTGCTTCAAGGACTCATCGAAGCAGGCCAGATGGGCCGACGGAGACGCATGCCTCGTAGCATCGCGGATGACAGTCTCTCGTTCAATGAGAAACGTGTGCCAGGCGAGCAAGCCACCGATGAATACGCAGACGAGCACGCGGGGCGAGATGAGGCTTCGGAGGAGAGTGCAGCGGGGCCGGATGCGGGGGTAAGCGGCGGCTTCATACGGGGGTGGGACCGGAAAAGAGTCCCGGAAGAGGTCCGCCTCCTTGGAGGGGATGTGTGGTTGTGCCATTGTAACACGGTGCAATGTCGCGAGCAATGGTGACTGACAATTGGGGTCAGAGGTTAAGTTATGCAAACGAGGAACATCACATTATTGGCTTGCAAGGAGCTCAAATGTCAGATCGGAAGAACTTTCGATTGCGACACGCAGTCCGAGGTAGGAGCAACGAAGGTCCCCAGCAGCTTGGACAAGTTGGGAAGGTGCAATTGAGTTGCTGCTGGAGCTTGGGCACGGGGTATGTACTCAATCCGATAAGGAACGATATTTGTTAGTGATGTCTATGGAGTTGAATATATCTTACTAACATGGAGCGAAGAGGATACTTTGACCCACTGAAGCTTTATCGTCGACCAGGAGCTTCGTTGCAGGGAAAGTGCAAGGGACTTCTGTCTCATGGGGTGACGCAACTCAACAGTAGCATCGTGAGAAGACGCGTCCAAATGACCGGGAGTACTCCGTAGAGGCGCGTATTATCATTCTGATGTTCATATGAATACTGGTTGGTGCCACGACCACCAATGCCCAGGATAGACTTTCCAACAGTCACCATAGAGGCACAGACACACCCGGGTCATTCGCGAGTCGGGTCGTTGAGCAAAGTTTGCCATCATGGGAGGAAACTCACCGGACCGGCCTCTTAACTTCTATTAATGTCGCTACAGTCTCATTCTCGACACGTCGGCGGATTGTGAGCTGGAGTCTCGATCTGTGATGCCGTGCCTCTAGCGCCAGTTGTCAATGGCAGATCATTTAGATGAGGCGACGCGATGAACAGACGAGCATCCTGGCACTCGATTGCACTTTGTCACTATCCATATCATACCTATGTGGTCTGGTTCGGTGACCCCAGTTGCCCAGATGTTTCTGCACCATCTGCACGTCCTTCCCGCCTGTCTTCGTCTCGTCTTTCCCGGTTGGCTTGGGCCCCTCGGTTTTGGTGGGACTATGCCCCCCCAAAAACGGCATCTGCCACAGTGGGCCCGTTTTGGCTCTGTTTGGGATTGTTTGGCCCTTGGAACCCCAGCTGCATCCAGCACCGCTTGAAGCTCCCCGGGCGAAAAGTCACCTTTAGCAATCTGCAGGGCATCATCTTTTGTCAGAATCCCATCGACAACTTTGTTTTCTTTCCCTTCCACCTTATACTCGACCAAATTGTTTTTTTGTTTCTTTGGCTGGATCCCCAAGCATCGCGCGGATCTGTCTTTCACCGAATTCCCATCTCTTTGATTGCCCTCACCTCATACACCGACTGTACAACACTCCATCATGCCGGAATCCAAGCTGGAGCAGGCGGTGCAGCCGCGCCCGCCGCAGTCATCCTTTCGACTGGCCGAGAGGGTGTGTCAGCTCGTCCTGGTCTTCTCCATCAGCTTCGCCGCCATGTTCATGATGATGACCAAGATTTCGCCCGGCAAGTGGCCGTTGACGGAGCCGTCGATAAGCAAGCCCAGGCTCAAGGTGTCGGGCCAGCGCGACTACCTCATTGCCATCTTCTCCGATCTGCACTACGGAGAGCAGGAATTTGGCTGGGGCATTGTCCAGGACAATAATTCCACCAGAGTCATGCAATCTGTCATGAAGAGCGAACAGCCCGACCTCATCGTGTTCAACGGCGATCTCATTACTGGCGAGGATACCCACAAGGAGAACTCGACGCTCTACATTGACCAGATTGTCGCGCCCCTCGTCAAGACGAACCAGCGGTGGGCATCCGTCTACGGGAACCACGACTCCAAGCACACCCTGGACCGCGAGCAGCTGTTCCGTGCCGAAAAAGGCTACGACCTCTGTTACACCACGTCCATGGGCGACAATCTCCCGGGCATCACAAACTACTACGTCCCTGTCTACGAGGGAGACTCCAAGGACCCCATCCTGCTATTGTGGTTCTTTGACAGCCGGGGCGGCACTAGCTACCAGACGGATTCCGATAACATGGACGACATTCCAAACTGGGTTGCCCCCGAGACGGCCGAATGGTTTACCAAAACCTACGACGACCTCAAGGACAAGCACGGCCGTGTCATTCCCAGCGTCGCCTTTGTCCACATCCCCCCTCACGTCTTTTTAGCTGCCCAGCAGACCAACCTCGACCCGGCCAAGTTTCCTGGGTTGAATGCCGACAGCCCGCTAGCCATCCAGGGCGAGGGCGGCGAGGACGCCCCCTTCGTCGAGGCGCTGCTCGAGGCCGAGGGTCTCCACAGCATCTATGTTGGGCACGACCACGGCGACTCGTGGTGCTCGACCTGGCCCGGCCACGAGGCCGGACTCGGCGCCGAGGCCCCATTCCTCTGTTTTGCAAAGCACACGGGCTACGGCGGCTATGGCACCTGGGAACGCGGCGCTCGGATGATTAAGCTCTCCTTCACGCAGGGCGACGACCCAGACATGTCGGTGGAGAGCTGGGTCCGCATGGAAAACGAAGAAATTATAACGCGCGTAACTCTGAACGAGACCTACGGCCAGGACACTTACAATGGGGAATGAACCAACCCATGCGGGATGCACAACCAACAGAATGACGGCCTCATCCTGCACTCTTTATTTGGCACCGGCAGAGCTATGCCATGTCCCGCTCCGTCGCACACTGACTGGTCTCAAAAGCAAAACATGCGTGGGCAAGCAGTCGTCCCGAAGGATGCTGTGCACGCTGTGCCCCATCACTTCATTCCTGCACGCATTCCTCTAGGCTCGCACGGAAATTGCAGCATTCGCCCTGCGGTCAGCTGCCGTCAGCCAGCCCTTGGCGACCGTGCAAACGCCTCGCGGCAAACTAAAAAGGCGCCAAACAGCCAATTAAGCAATCATGGCAATGCCATAATACTATTATGTCTTCCTTCGTCTGGTGTTCCTCGTCCTTTGCACCTTCCAAAAGGACAGTCACGATGGACAGGATTCAGACTCGGACAGAAGGACCGCCGCCGAGATACACGGCTTCGAAGCCGGTCGACATGTCTCGGCAGCCGCTGCGATACGCTCGCCGCCCGATTTACATACTCGTCACCTACCTGGTGCTGCTCGTCGTGCCATGGCTCTGCGTTTGCGTCATTAACCGAAAAACAACATCCGACCCGTGGGGGATCATTATGCGGCAAGACCTCGACTCATATCACCGTTGGATCGCTGCGGCTTCGTTTTTCAGCACTGTGGCGGCTGTCATTGCTCTGCCGTGCGTTGCCGCGCTGTTAGCCTACGGCGCAGTCGTCTTCTCCCAGCGCCGAGCCAAGCAGCAGACCCTCACCGTGAGGCAGCTGCTTGCCATTTCCGACTTGAAATGGACAGCGTTTGTCTCCAGCGGACAGTCGTCTTCCTACCTCCTGCTGGCCACCGGACTGCTTCTTCTCAGTAAGTGACCAGTCTTTTGGGGGCTGCTCATTCTAACATGCAACAGCTGCCGTACAGCCGCCACTGCAGTCACTGCTGATGCTGCCATCGAGCCGCCCGGTGTACTCATGCGACAGCCTCCGACCTTTGAGTAAATGGGACCGGACATGCGACGGCAAGGGACAGCCAGCCCAGACAATTGGCAAGGATGCCGAGCCCGTCTTGCTCCGAGAGGCCAACGCCTCCCAGTTCGTCAACACCGTCAGAACAAAGTTGGTCAACATCACTTCGGCCGACATCCAAGAAAACCTGTGGCGAGCCGACGACAACCACCGGAGCTTCGTTACGGGAGAGGACCAGACGTACAACGACTCGTTCTGGGTATCAGCAATTCCCGCGGGTGTCACGACGGGACCTCTCCGACAGCACTCCATCCGGCTCAGCTCAACCGCAGCCTGCCAGGTTGCAGACGAGTACCCCGCCAACTGCGACGGGTACGCAACGTCTCTCCAAGGCTTCGGCATCAGTGTGAGAACGTGCATGCCTCGCAATAACACCGGCCCTGCAGCCCGTGGGGTGCCCCCGAGGCGACGACAAGACGTCGATGAAGTGCTCTACATTGACGCGCAGATTAGCCCAGAAGCAGCAAAGACTCAAGACTTTTTATCGGAACCGGCTCAGAACGTCACCATCAAGTGTGTCGCCAAAACCACCCGCGCCTTTTTCGAGATTGGCAACCTTCAGACGGGATTGCGTCCATCCGACATCATCAGCGAGTGGCCCTCGGACGAAGACATGGCAGCGCATTTCCACGACTACGATTGGCAGGGCAACCTCATCACCAACGAGTCTGAAGACGACTGGAACCGTGACCGATTTTCCGGCTGGACCTCTGCACAAGGCCCGCTGCGGTCTACCGCCGAGGCGCTCTTTGGCAACGGCTCCTACCCACAGGCCGTGCTTGACCTCTTGAGCCAGACCTTCCCGGACGGCCAAGTGCCCGACAACACCATGTCCGACAGCGATGCGAAACGCAAGGCGTGCTCTTTGCCGACGCCTCTCGGTGCGTGGCAGCTGCCGTACAACTCTCACAACGACGACTACGACTCGTGGTACTCGTCCATTTACCAGGGATGCTCGCTTGCAGAGCTTCCCAAGACACTATTCCGGATCGCACAAGGCCTTCAATACGTCAAGGTGGCGCAGAGCACTCTCGGCGTCGGCATGTACTTGTCCAACGTGGCCGTCCTACAAGACGCGGCATCCAACGACGCCGCAAGGACCATTTACAACCTGGCCGGCACCGAGTTTGTCGCACCGCGGTACACCGTGGGCGCCACCGTTGCCATTAGCCTGCTCATCAGCATGCAAGCCGTTGCACTCATTCTCCTCGTCTGCTACATTTACAGCCTGCCGACCTGGACCGACACCTTGGACGCCTTTGCCATGATGAGGCTGGGAGCACACTTAAGAGACTCGGTGGACTTTCCGCTGTTGGGCCGGGCCAGCCGGGAGGAGATGGGGGCGCTGGATGAGACGGATGGACTGCTCGGCGTCGTCGTACGGGGCGCCGCGGGCAGGTCAGAGGAGGATCTCGAGCTCGCCGCTCTAGCTTCGTCCAGCACCGCACAGAGGAACGAGACATCCGCGCATCAGTATGCGAGTGTGAGCCCGCCATCACCGACAAGCACGGTCGAACAAGACCCTGCGGCACCGGCCACCCAAACGAGCCATGTGGCGGACGCCACTAGGCCTGGGATGGATATTAGCGAGCTGAGCGAGTACCTACAAGGGGCCCCGCCGGCGTCCCCCACGACAACAACCACCACCACTACTACGACGGTGTCTTCCCCTCGGAGCCCGTCACCGCCCCCGCCATACCTGCCGGCGAGATCGTCCAACAGAGACCAGTCGGTGAGGGGGCCGTTTGAGCTGGGGCTGGGAGCCCCTGGGCTCATTACAAGAGCGTTATGGGAACGGTACAGGCCGAGGTAGAATTGCATAGGGAGCACACGAAAAAAGTGTGTAAACGGAGTTTTATTTTGTCACATCTATTTTGATACCCACAGAGAAGAAACATTTTCATCAATACCATATCAAGTCTCCGGAATGGAGCAACACTCTACATTACTCGTCCCAAGACCGCTATCGCGTGAACGAGAGGGAAACAAACGCCAGCGCCACCACGGACGCCGGGCTAAGAAAAGAAGTCTAACTTGTAAGTCGAGAGATCGCCGGCGCGGTTCTGGATCCCGCGAATGTGGATACCCCCCGTTCTAGCTCCGTCTAGCCCGCCATGTCACCGCCGATACAGAAAATGCTAAGAGTTTCAGGCGGGAGGATTTTTAGAAACCTCCAAAGGTCGTACGTTTTGCCGTTTGGTGGTGGTGGTGGTTGGAGGAGGTACCGCTAATCTGGGAGCTAGCTTTGCTATCCTGCGCTTTAACCGCATCGGGAGAGCTCCCTGCGTCCCAGCTGGCCCAGCCCGTTTTGGCAATTTTTGAGGTGGGTTGCTCCGGTACGCCGCGGTGGACTGGCAACACTTTAGACGCGGCGGCGCGTTTAAAGGGAGGGGAGGGAGGGGAGGGAGGATGGGGTTTTGCGACGGACTCGTTTGTTAGTCGCAGAGTTGCGTTCTTGGATGATGGGAATGATTTGTTGGACTATTTACGAGCTTCTTTGCTAGTAGAGGAAGGGGGTGTTTTTAGACGGTAATTTGTTGTTCGCGTCCCCTTGCTGTGGTGGTTGGTATGCGGTTTTCGATAGATGGTTGGGTCCGCATTCCGCGATACATTCTTTTGTCTTCTTGCCACCTTTGGAAAAAACGTCTTGTTTTCTCTTGCTCATCTTTTTCTGATGGCGCCTTTTCTTGATCAGCCCTGGTGATACCGCGCGAGGAATGTGCTGTGACGAGGGTCTGTCCCTGACTCAGTTGCCACAATCAACAAACGGGTTTGTCGGGGCCCAGATCACATCACCAAGGGCTGTATACCCCGCCTACGCATCTCCCGCTCAATCCTCTTCGGCATGGCATTGAGTCTGTCACACGCCCACCACGTGGCTTTCCCCTCCCCCTCCTCCTCCTCCTCCTCCCCGAGAAGCAACCGCGAGGTCTCGTAAAAGTGGTACAGCACCAGCAGCGCCCTCGGGTCGTTTGCAACAATCATGTCGAGCAACGGACCGAAGCAGAAGAGCGGGAAGGCGAGGATGTATCGCTCGAGGTCGGGCCTCGCGGGGGGCTGGGGATTCGTGGCGCGGTGGTGCCAGAGGGCTAGGATGACGGACAGCCGCTCTACGATGCCGGCGGATACGGCGCGTTGGCGGTCTGCGTTGCTGTTGTGGTGGTGGTGGTGGTGTTCCGGGGCGACGGTGCCTTGGCTGCCCGTCGAGGAGGGGTTTGGTGGTGGTGTCTGGCTTTCGGCCGTCATTTCGTCATATCGATCCATCAAGGCGGTCTGGATCCGGCTGCGATCCATATCCTGTTCCGTTACGATCTTGTCGAGCGCGTCGCATGGGGCATCTTGCCATGCTTTGGTAAAGATGCTGTCTTTTCCCTGCGCCCGGGTCCCGGAGAGGAAGACTCGTAAGCCGGAGCTGAGGAGGAAGAGCTGGTCCTGGGAGAGATCTAGGGTGGCGCCGGTGTCGTCAGAGCCGTCGATGAAGTCGAGATTACACCATGTCAGATAGTGTATAAGCTGAGCCGTGAAGAAGAGCGAGTCGTACCCCTCTCCACCAGCCTCGTCGTCCCGGCCGAGTTCGGCGCCGAAGAGCGCGCAGCTGCGGGAGAGCAGAGCCAGGCTCGCTTCCTCGTAGACGGCGTCCTCGGGTCTGAGGGTACTCAGGTGCCGTGCCGAGACGGCGAGGATGGCCGTCATGAGGTACTCTGCCCGGAAGGCGAGCGGGAGGACGGACGCCCAGACGTCGGCGAAGCAGAGGGTGGGGATCGTCGCGTGCTGGAAGTGGTGGAGGAGTTGCATGTGAAGCAGGTTCACAGGTCCCGAGGGGTCTAACGGGCGTGCCGGTCCTGTGCTGGCGGCGGCGGGCGACGTTGTCTCCGGGGTGGAGGACTGTTGCAGACGTGTGCATGGTTCGTTGCGGCGGATGCAGTTTGCGCAGGGGGTTGCTTCGTCGCACTGAACCCCGTGTAAGTCTTGTGTGTCTGGGGACCTTGGACTGTGAGGCATTGGGACTTACCTTTACCTTCCTCCTTTTGCATGGCGTGCAGCCGCCTCTGCTCTTCCTGTGAGCCTTCTTCTTCTTTGGCTCTGTGTGGGTGGAGTCGATGAAGCGGAGGGACAGAGGCGTGGCGTCTGGGGAGGTGGAGGGGTTTGATGCTGGCATTGTCGAGATCGTCCCGTGCAGTGGTTTTGGGATGGTTGCTGGGGTGAGATGAAGTGAGAGTTCTTAGCACCGAGAAGCCAGGCAAGTCATCCGGAATGAGACAATTGCTCATTCGGCCAGTGAAGCTGTCGATAGAATGAGATTGAGTGAGTCTGCTTCATGGCGGAAAGTAGACGAATGAGATGAAATCAGACAATCAGCTGAACCTCGCATTCCGAATAGGGAATGCGATGGAAGTGGGTCCAAAAAGCGAGAATGGTTTAGCTCGCTGCAGTAAAGTAGGGGTCCATGACCAATGACGTCATTGCGAGACCTCGTTGAAGATGGGAGCATTTTCATGAAATGAAGCTATCGCGAGATTTTGGATACCAGCAGGACAGTATTTCGAAACATACGATCCATAGATATTGTAGGCTTGGTTTTAACAGACATGAAACCTCTTCCGAACAGTGTCAAACTCAAAACGAGGTGCCCCTCAGAAGCCGTCGAGACAACAACGGTCCTCAATGAGAATGTGATGAGTCTATGCCTGGGCTAAAATTTGCAGTCATCTTGGGCCACAATGGGTCAACGGGCTGCAATACATCGGAGATAAATGAGACAGTTTTCATGACTTTGGGCATCTCGCCAATGCCCAGAGTGCTCACTATACTGTCTTTCAACTCGCAATTATCCCCACCTGAATTCATTGAGTACGATCCTGAGAACCACCGAATACTGCTAGTAATTGAGTCCATCTTTGTAAGACGTCTTAACATGGAGCTTTACGAAGATCTAGTTCAGGCATCGTCAACCGAAATGGACTCAGCTACACCTACACTGAGTCCTCCGGAGCAGAGCCACATCACCATCTCATCAGGCGACCCCGATGCCACCGGCTCCCCGTCACCAGATCCAGACATCACCACCTCTCCCAGTCTCGCATTCAAAGGCGATCTCATCATTCTGCCAAACCCAGAAGCCCGCATCGGCCCTATTCGCGCATCAATCGAGGACCCAACCCAGCACACACTACACCTCTTCGCCGGCGCCTCTCTCTCTAGGCACAGAAGCCACAAGGGCCCCTCGACGCCGTCCGTACCAGCAGGCGCCGTCGTCTTCTGGAAACCGTGGCCGTGTACAGACCCCCTCGAACCATGGCACTCGCGCGCCTTCCAGATCCTCGCGTGTCGCAACTCCGCACAAGCAGAACTCTACGCCGTCGTCGCAGCCCTCGAGACGGCGACGCTGCTGGCCCATTTGATGCCGGACCTGAGACGGGTGACGGTCTATTCCGACTGCCAAGCCGTCATGAACGCACTCGCCTCAGGGGAAGTAGGCGAGCACGTCACCACCTTGGATCCCCTCGTCAGACGCGCATATGAAGCGTGTGATTCTTTATGGGACGATAGGAACGTCAGAGTCGCTGTGTGCTAGTGTCCCGGCCACGTCGGCATCGTTGGCAACAAAAAGGCCGACGCGCTGTCGAAAGAGATCCGACGGTATAATTTCAGGCACTTGGTGCCGAAGGAGCAGCCGGCGTGCGTGAGCGGGTATGAGATTGCGTTCAAGTATCTTGAGAGAGCGCGCCGCGGGCACTGGTGGAAGGATGAGGCTGATTTCGAGTGGACGGCGAATATACCTCGCAAACGGTTTTATCCGGTGGCTGTTGGTGTGGTCTGCGATGAGGAGGCCTGCGATGAGGCATACGAGGATGGAGCATACGATGAAGCTTACGACGATGAAGATTACGGGTATGAGGCCGACGACGAGGCATCCGCAAGCGAGCTCTCATCACACTGCTCCTCCGCAACCTTGCAAATCGAAGCAAGAAAGCGCAAGCGTTCGGCGTCCTCTCAGAAGTTTGGCGCAAGTACAAGCACAACTGTCATTCGTCTCCGGAATTCGTGTGGTTGCTGAACACAAAGGTAGCCGCTGCGTCGTCGTCTCCGTCCCCTGGAAGAAAAAAAAATCCCCATGGCTTTGATATCTCGTTCAAGTAGCTCGTCGAACTCGGCAACGTTATTACCGCAGCCACTCGATTTGTTGGTAGACGTACCGACATCTGTCAAGATGTAAGCCTCGAGACCACGGGTACACGTCAGACAGACTTATTCTGTAGGCAGGTAAAGAAAAGAAGCAGGATGAACTTTGCGTCCCTTGCCGGCGAAGATCCTTGGCGAGAAGCTATGCGAGGAGCCAGATGGTGGGCAGGCATGGGCGAGGCTGAGGATCGCAGCACCAGACGTGTAGATAAAAAGAGACACAGCAAACTCAATCGGTAGAAAACAAAAACACCACAAAAAACATGCGTCGTCATCAAAGTGATTCTTTTGGAGAGTCTATAAATCCTGGCCCCCATGTAGTGAATATGCAGAGACCACGCACGCCGCCCGCCCAGATAACAGCCCCGCCCAATGCTAAATGGAAATCCTTCACCAACGTCGGGCCATGCTGTTCAATTGCTCACAAAAAACAACCGCTTTTTTCTTGTTTCAGCCAGGCCCGTTTTTCGGCTCATCAAACTCCAACCATGTCTAACTGAGTGGGAAACGGCTCCCACAACCCGCGCGCCAGCAGTGTTCCTTGTATCGTCGTGAACCAAAAAGATGTGTCTATAATTACAGTTAAGAAAGGCTGCTACAGCGACAGTCCGCAGCCGACATGTACTTTTTTTCTTCTTCCTCACTTCCGCCGCCTCGTCTTGGGAGCGGGCGCGGGTTCGGGCGACGGCTCCACGGCCTGTCGCTTCTTGGCCGTCTGCTTCTTTGGTCTCGGAGGCGGCGGCGGCGGCTCCGAGTGGAGATGGCCGAGCTCCTCCATCGCCGTGGAATTCTCCCACGCGAGGCAGCGGTAGTTTGTGGGTTCGGGCGTCGGCTCGTGCTGGCGGCCTCGCGTGCTCATGCGCTTCGAGTCGCGCCTCTTGCCCTTCTTCTCCTTCTCTTCCTTTTCCTTTTCCTCCTCCTCCTGTTGCTGCTCCTCGGGCTCCGCGGCGGCGAGGTACGTCTTGCGGTTCTCCATGTGCTGAACAATCTTGTCGCGGAACGCCACGATTTCTTTCCTGAGCCGCAGCTCGTTGAAGCCCCGGGGATCCAGCCACTTGAGGAGCTCGTCGACCTGCTCCGGCTCGCTATAGTAGCCCCATTGGTGGGCATTGAAGACGCTGGTGGGGCCCTCTTCCAACTTCTTCCGGTCCGGCACCGTCATGGCAAACTTGGTCTGGTATTCGGCCTGGTACTCGGGGTCGGTGTCAATGTAGCCTTGGCGCTCCAGCTCGTCGGGGCCTTGCACCCATATGCAGCCGTTGGCGTACTCGGCGGCAGCGGTTGAGCTGTCCGGGAGCCCTCCGTACGGCATGCCGTTGCGTTCGAACCAGTAGTACCGGTTCCAGAATCGGTCCTTACCCAAAACACGGGTCCGGCCACAGTCGGCTTCGCGAAGGTCGTTGTCGATGACGGCAATCTCGTCTTCGCACTTTTTGATAAAGTCCTCCTTCTTCTGGATATCCTTGAGGACCTTGAGAAATTGCTTCGACTGCTTGGGTGCCTTGGCGGCTTCGGCCGCCTTTATTTTCCGCTCCAGCTCCTCCTTGCGTTTGCGTTGCCTCTCTGCGGCGCGGTCGTTGGCGCGGCGAAAGTTCCGGCGGGGTGCTCCCTCCTCGTCAGAGTCGGCCACTTCGTCCTCGGCGTCGGCGGCGTCGGCTGCCGACTCGTCTGCGTCCGTCATCTTGACGTCCTCGTCTGCCTTTGGCTCGGGAGGCGGCGACGGCGGCATGTTGTCGGGCAGCATAATCTTGCGCTGGTCGTTGAGAGCACGCAGTTCCTCGATGCTGTCGGGGGTCAGTAACGTATTCGTCAGATAGTCCAATGCAACTTACGCCTGCTTCCTCTGCCGCTGCCAGTCAATCTTTTCCTTGCGGAACGCCGTCATTTGCTCGCTGCATTCCTCCATGTAGGTGCGCATCGCCTTGGTCTGCGTTGTGAGCATGCAGATGATCTGTAGCGCCTGCACACGGTAGTTGACGTCGAGTCTGGCATAGTGCTCCTGCACCGTCTCCTGGGTAGGGTCCTCGTCGGGGGGACACAGCTGGGCGAGCAAATCTTCGCACGCCTCCTCCATCCTCTCGTTCTTGGAGAGCTGGTGCAGCAGACCGACAACGATTCTCTCCCAGCCGCCGTTTTGAAAATTGCGTTTCCTGAGCTCCTCGATCCAGTCGTACTCTTCAAGCAGGTCCTCGGCGCGGTGCTTGATCTCGGGCTCCACGTTCTGGCTTTCCTTTTCCGCAGCCCTCGCCTCGGCCAGCAGCCTCTCGGCCTCGGCTTTAGCGAGACTGCTTCGTGTGGCTCTTGCAGGCGGCCGATCGGTTTCCGGGGTCGGCTCCTTGGTCTCCTCCTCATCCTCTTCTTCCTCGGAGTCCTCCTCTTCATCCTCCAGCTCGGGCAGCTGGACGTTCACCTTGCCGCCGTCTGCCTCGGCGCTCACAATCTGCTTCAGCACGGCACAGTGGATTTCCTCAAACAGCTGGACCTTGGTTTCCTCTGATGCAACAGACATGGCTTCCGCAAAGTCGTCAAACGTAAAGGAGTCGAGCTTGAAAATCTCGCAGTACACATTCAGGGTGTCCCACGTCTCCAAAAACGAACCAATCGACTTCATCGACAGCTTGTCGCGTATGCTGGCGCTGCCGTTCACGGCTACGTCGGAGGCGGTCGGGGGGTCGTTGCAGAGGAACGCCAGGGCGGGCCTGACGACGCCCTCCCTCAGAGGCACCTGGAGATCCTCAATGGGGTACTTTGGTGGTGGTGGCGGCGGCGGTGGCTCGGGCGCAGTCATGGAGTGCGGCAGCGGTTGATTCCGGAAGTTGAGCGGCAGCTGGAAGGGGTTCTTGTGCGGTGGTGCGTGGAAGATGCCAGCCTCGGACGCCGTGTTTGGCGAACCATTCTGGCCTTGGGGGAACTCTGGCGACTGATGCTTGCCCTTTTGGCTCTTGAATGCGGGCTTCAGCTCGGGCAGCCGCGCAGGTCCGTTCTGCATGGCGCCGTTGACGCCGTTGGTGCCGTTGCCGTCCTGTGTCGGAGTCTGGCTGGCGCGCTTCTGGGCCTGCAGCTGCTTCCTCTCCATCAACTTGGTATCGTAGCGTAGGTGAGGCGGGACCCGGGAGTCGATGTGGTACTGTGCCGCTACATCGTGCTTCACGAGCCACGGCGCCCCGTTCCATGCCTCACGCGTCACCGTCTTCTTGATGAAGGAGCGCAGAACCGACTTTGTAAATATTTTGCGATCGCGAAAGATGTGGTCGTCGTCAACCACGGCCTCGACACCCGGGCGATCCTCCAAGCTGACCGTATAGCGTGTGTAAGGGGCGGTCTGGGTGCCGTCTGGCAGAATCTTGCCGCCGAACCGGGTCTTTTCTCGCACGACGCCCTGTAATCTCTCGCTCTCGGCCGTGCTGACGGTCACAGCCTCACCGGGGTAGTAGTCGGCTCTGAACTCGTCAAACACCAAGTCGACCAGCGCATCGATTCGGGACACCGTTTGGAACTGGACGCGACGCAGGACGGGGCCCTTGAGGGCTTCGGGGAAGGCTTGCTCAACCTCCTCGGCACCGGCGAGCTGTAGTCATGTCAGCAGGTTTGCGCGGCAATGGGGATGGGCGGGACGGACTTCGCTCTTGAGTGCTTCGAAAAACGTCAGGCCGGAGTGCCCTGTGATCTGGCAGATGAAGCGCCGCTACGCGCTGGGGTTAGTCTTGGCCCGTAGCCCCACCTGGCCTGGGACGTACCTGTTTGTAGAAATCCATTCTTCACCGCATTAGCTGGGAGCATGAACGAAACGGACATAAACGACAACAACGCACCTAGTAAGATAATCTTCATATTGGGCAAAGACCTCGCCGGTCTGTGGGATATGCCAGACCTGGAGGCCTGCATCAGTACCCGTAGCATCGTTTGTGAATGTCACTCTGCGAACCTCTGCATTGTCATCCTTGACGTCCTTGGGAGCCAGAAACTGCACCGGTTTACGCTTGAAAAGGACCTGGTACCTCAAGTCAGCGATCCGCGACCCCGGAGAGCGCGTCGGGAGGCCTTACCATGTTGGCGGTAGGCTACAATGGCATGGTCCAAGATTCGAGGTTCCGATTGCGCGGCGGGGCTGAAATCCAGCCAATCTTGTCTTCAACCGTACAAGTGGTTCTGTAGAACCTCGAGGACCATTTGCTGGGCGAGAGAAACGCGTTGTGGCGGTCTGGCGGGTGTGTTGTGGTCGCGGCCGGAGCGAGCGGAGGCGCGGTCGTGGGTGTCGGGCAGGGGGAGGACGGGTCGGCGGGTGCACTTACACGCGAGACTCGCGGGGGACGCGGTGCGGCTCGCAGATGACGTGTCGGAGATGGCTGTATAAATGACGGTATCGATGGTTCGTGGTTGTGGTCGCGGGTTGGTGGACGAGAGGAAAACGCGCAGCCTGCGAGTCGTGGGTGAAACGACGAAAAAAAAACAAAAGGTGGGAAAGGAAGTGGTGAGCTTTGGGGGGGGGAGGAAAGGAAAGGGAAAAAGAGAAGAAGGGCGCCAGTGAAAAGCGGTCCTGGCCCGCTTGGCCCGTTCGGCCCACGGTGCCTCCGCATCCCATCTCCCAGGCGCCTGCGCACCAGGCCTCCTTACCCTCCTCCACCCGCCACGACTCCGTCCACTTCGGGAATCCCACAACCGCGTCGGCCACCCGCGAATTTGTACTCGTTAGGCTCGCCATGGCTGGGGCTTTCGATTGAGCACTCAAATAGCCACAAACACCACGATTTGGTCGATTAATGCCGTGATATGTCTTGCACGTCTTCCGGTCCCGGCGGGTAGCCTAGTTTTCGTCAATTGCCTCCTCGGGGCCAGCTCCGGATGAGCACCGTTCCACCACCACATTACATATAAAAGTGCTTCAACGTGCTCATACGAACTGGTACATTGTTACCAACTCATACATACAATTACAGGTGTTACCGACACTCGGTGCGGCCTCTCGGTCATGATATCAACTCCGGGACGGTCCACCGCGGCCGCTCCGGGCCTCCGGGCTCCGTGTAAGTGATTTCGACGCAATTGCATTGTGCCGTAGTCAATCACTCGAATTCCGATAGTGCATCGCCCAAACTGTGCACGACAAGTGTCTGTTTTGTTCTTTGGCTTGTTCCTGGCATACAATGGGTTGTGTCCAAATGGCCCACGACCCCCGGTCCCCCCTGCTCAGCCGTTAGCTCCAAAAGGATGTTTCCCTCCTGGTACTTGTGGTGGAGCCGGTGCTGCTGTCAGCCTCCAGGCACGTACGTGAGTTGCGACTTTTAATTGGCTCCCGCCAGCTGGGCCCCCACGGGACCAAGCGTCTCTTTTAGACCTCCGGCAACTCAGCGGCACTGGCACGTAAAAGTTTCACCGTCCTTGACTGTATTTCTATGTTTTCCATACATACTAGCAATACACTTCCTATGACGTGAAATAGACCACCATGAATCCGATCCAGCTGCCGACCACTCCCACAGCGCAGTACGAGCTAGTAAACATGAGTGGCAGAAACTCGTACCGCTTCCCAAACACAACCTGGTGGAGCAGCGAGCAGTAGAAAATCAGCGGGATGCTGATGGCAATGTACAGCGTGCTGAACCGGTCCAGCAAGAAGAACCTCGCCTTGCGCGAAGCCGGGGCCAAGCGGTCAAACACCATGAGAAACAGGACTAACCAGAAGATGGTGTACACCGTCTTGATTGGGAACTCGGCCGAGGTGAAGAGCAGAGGGAAGAGAGATACGTGTCCGGCGACAGCCAGTGGCCGGAACGCGCCAAGGTAACGACGATCCTTGAGCGCAATCAGGCTGAAGGGGATGATGACCAAAAGAATGGCCTTTTCATGCACATGCCATCCGAAAAGGAACGAGGCATAGCCGCAGAGCGTCACCGCCCCGATGAAGGCGTCCCATGTGGGGGGTGCTTGGAAGAAGAGCTTGATCAACGGCAGCACCTGGAAGAAGAGCGTCAGAGCAAAGCAGGCCCGCGGGGTGATCTCTGGCAGGACGGCAAAGGCCGTGTCTCCGACGAGCCCTCTGGTGACGCTGTTGATTGCTTCGGCCTTGACTGGCAGGTTGAGGTGGGGTGCGGCTGCAACGTGTTAGTTTATTGCGTCGGTATTCTTCTGTCGGTCAAACATACCATAAATTAGAACGCGATCGGCAAACGAGTAGAGCGCCCAGATGTTCGGGGCCCAGTAGGCGTGGCAGAGGCCGCGCGAGAAGGGAAACAGTCGACTCATCATCTGGGGGATCTGTTCCAGAGCGACAAACGGGCCAAAGGCAGCACCAAAGATGGCCGCAATACCGCCACCCAGCTTGACGCAGTTGAAGAATTGGATCCTAAAGATGGACTTGGGCGACAGACAATACGCGCGAAGCAAGAAGACAAAGTAAGCCGGCGCCAGGTACAGGTAGATGTGCTTCATGCACAGCAACGCAGCAAAGACCAATCCGCTGCCCAGCAAGCCCGACTTGGATCTGGCCAGAATGAGGGACAGAATGAGCACACCGTACATGGCACCATTGTACTGGAAGTGGATGTGATCAATGATGAGGAGGCCGGGCGACAGCAGGATGGAGATGGCGGCAGCTTGGGCAGCCCGTCTCGTGGGACCGGTGGCAGAGTCGATGAACCTGGACCTTAGCTTATATTTCATGCAGCGGGTGCACCAGCAGACTCACCGTTGTAGCGCGTAGACGAGCACCAGCTCGGAAATGATGACGGTCCATCGCTGGAAGTAGACCGTCTGCCAGCTATCGTATTCCAGATTGTAGAGCTTGAGCATGGCCGGGTCGACGAGCTTGGCGACCTGGGACATGGCCCACTCAAAGTAGGCGAAGAAGGGAGGGTAGTCGAGGGTCCATTCCGACGTCTTCTCATAGTACCATTCCGATATGGGTAGGCTGTTGGTGATGGCGAGCCAGTTGCGGTGGACTTCGAAATCGGTGGATTTGCTGCGCGACGTGTCAGTTGGAGATGGTTCAAAGCTGGAGGGGGAGCAACCACATACTAGGCCGGGAAGAGGAGGACCTTGAGTGCGCCGGCGATGAGGGCACACTGCGTGAGGGTCGGATACGATTCGGCCATTGTGGCGCGTTCGAGAACCGGTCAGTAGGTAATCCGCATTGATCTGGGCGGTGCCGTGAGAGCTTCACTGGAGTGGTCGGGAGGTGGGAGGAATTTCACAGGCCACCTTGGTGCTTGGGCCGGTGTCGTCAGGGGTCCTGCTCAATGGCAGGAGCTGCAGCTTGGGATTTTTTTCTTGGAGAAGGGGGCCACGGGCAGGGGTTGACGTTGGGCCCGTGCGACATCGCGGTGAAACCAGTCGCCGTCTTTGGAGACGCGACGCGACTCTTTAACGATACGTACGCAGTACTACTTACCCCGTACAAGCCACAGTCTGAAAGCCACAATGGCCATGGAATAGAAGCTCCCCGCCACGCCTGCAAGGAACCGAGCAGAAAGTGTGTCTTTCTTTCCAGAATCCCTTTTGCATTCCAGCTCGGGCCATGTAACTCCAGGCTGGTGGACCAGGGTCCCTTTATTTCGTCAATGTCTCCAGCAAAAAGCTCTTGGGCACGTTCCGAGACAGCGAAACAGAATCCAAGCTCGTGGGTTGGAGTCCATCATCACGAGACTCCACGACCTGAGAGACATTGTGAACTTTTACAATGATGCAGAGGGATACCGTCGACCTGCAGCTAGAGTCGGGCAATTGACTTTCCTCAAGAAATCAACGTCTCCAACGCTAAAACGCTCCGTCCCAAAAGGGCAGTCCAGGAGCTTATCCGCAAAGCTTGCTGCTGGCCGCCGCTGCTGCTGTCTTTGACACTTTTTAGTGCCAACCTGTCCTCAACCCACAGACACGCACCATCAACCCCTGCTTGGGAGTTTCTCGACTTGGCGGGTTTCCAACCACATCGTTCCCACGCTTTTCTGGATCCCAACGTAGTCTGCACTTTTTTATTTTCCTTCCATTCTGCCCGCATTGCAGGACCTTTGCATTCCTGTAATTTAATACACAATTGATCGTCCTCGTGGGCATACGGCCGGCTTCGTTGTTGCACTTGATACCCCCATCTCCACACACACAAGGTAGCTCCCGCGCTGCCTCGAACCACCCACGATGCGTGTGTCGCAAGCTCCTCTGAGCTCGACGCTCGCCCTCTTGCTCGGTGCAAGCTTCACACAAGCTCAATACCTCATCAATGAGCTCAGCTTCGGTTACTCTGGCAGGTAAGGCTGCTGACAATCCCCGCATGGCGCCATCGAGGCCTCCTCAGCTAACCTCAACAGCATATCACCAAACAATGACGGTCACGTACCCAACTTTGTCCTCCAAGGACAGCCGAACCAACCCGAGATCCTCTCCAACAAGGTCATCCTGACACCCGTGGCGCCCGGCAACCAGCGCGGCTCCATCTGGAGCACCCAGAAGGTGATGCACCAGAACTTCATCGCCGACATTGACTTCCGAGCCAACGGCCCCGAACGCGCAGGCGGCAACCTCAACATCTGGCTCACCAATGGCGGCTCTGCCGACGTCGGCATGAGCTCCGCATACACGGCCGGCCGCTTCGACGGTCTCGTCCTCGTCGTCGACGGGTACGGCGGCACCGGCGGTATGGTGCGCGGCTTCCTCAACGACCGTTCCACCGACTACAAGGCCCAGAGCGACATTAGCCCCCTTGCCTTTGGCCACTGCCAGTACCACTACCGCAACCTCGGCCGACCCAGCCAGATCAAGCTGCGCCAGACCGACCGCGCCTTCAAGGTCGAGATTGACGGCCGCCTGTGCTTCGAGAGCGACAAGGTCAAGATTCCCACCGGCTACACCTTTGGTCTGACGGCCGCGAGCGCCGACAACCCAGACTCGTTTGAGATTTTCAAAATGGTTGTCATGTCCGATAGCCTCCACGCCGGGGAGCAGCAGCAGCAGAACCAGCAGCAGCAGCAGCAGAACCAGCAGCAGCAGCAGGCACACGAGCAAAAGGCCAGCCACGGCCAGCCCAGCAACCCGCGCAGCGGCAACGACGAGCCCATTGACCTCAACGCCATCCCCGACTCCAACGCCGACGCAATCACCTCGTCCAAGGCGCAGTTCGCCGACCTGCACAACCGCCTGCAGTCCGTCAACCACGTCCTCGGCACAATCTTCAGCTCCGTCAACAAGTTTGGGCAGCAGGCCGAGAACCGCCACGCCGAGACGTCGCAGCTGCTCGACTCGCTCCGCACCGAGCTGCGCAAGCTCGAAAAGATCAACGACCTCGAGGGCCGCATCAACGGTCTCGAGCGGGAGATCCGCGCCATGCGCACCGACCTGAACCTCCAGATGAAGAACACGGAGCACTCCCTCAAGGGCTACATGGAGGGCCACCACGCCACCCTCTCGTCCAACATTGTCAAGGCCGCCCCCGGCCACGGCAAGCTGATTGCCGTCATTGTCGGATCCCAGGTCGTCCTCGCCGTCGGGTACCTGCTGTACAAGAGGAGAAAGAACTCGATGCCCAAGAAGTACTTGTAGTAAATGGGTGTGAGAAGGGTGATGGAAGGTCGGAGACGGCGCGGGGATGCCGTCTATCATGTGTCGTGCGCTTCTAACGGCTGTTGTTTGCACTGTAGCGTTGAGACGATGGTCAGTGGCAGTCAGAGGGGTCACTTTACCCTCATCGTTGTATGATTGGACATTGTGAGGTGATGACATGAAACGACGGAATATACGCAGAGGCCATCGCCAGCGGCACTAGAAGAGGTGGTGACGGGTTGTTGAAGTAAAGATATAAACATCGAAGCGAAAATGTTCAAAGCTCAACCCATGGTCTCCGTCATTGCAGTGGGTTCGTGGTTGCTGATCACCGGGATGAGATTGATACACGCTATTTCTGGACCAGGCAAGGGCTATCACAGGAGTTTCAAGCTCAGGTTCGTCGCCTGCTTTACATCGAAGGGGGGCGGGCGGGGTTGGTTATCTCCGGATGACTTGGCCTCACATCCCTCTCTTTCTCTCTCTCTCTCTCCCAATAGCAACGAACCAGTTCTGGCTCCCGAGGAGGGATCCCAAGGAGTCTTTTTTACGACAACCAGTGACGCTTTGTGAGACCTTTACTGAGCCGCGAACCTACAAGCTTATGCTCATCACACCATCATTCCCAGCTGCCACAAACAACACCGAACCAAGCATACGGAACAAACCCCACGTATATACATTACCAATCTACAAAAAAACTAATTGAACAAACTTATCATCATCGGCATCGTCATCATCCCCCACCAAGACATCTACTACGCCTTGCCATTAATAACCCGCAACAGCTCCTCCCCCTTGGGCGCCCCCGTAGACAAATTCTCGTACCCGTCGTCCGTGACCAGAATGTCGTCCTCGATGCGCACGCCGCCGACGCGGTAGTACCGCTCCAGCACCGTCTTGTTGATGAAGCGCGCGTGGCGGGGGTTGCTGAGGAAGTAGCCCTCGATATACTCTCTGCAAAAGTAGCTATTTTCGTTACTTTCGTCAGCAAGGGTCCTTAATGTCAAGTCACTTCTGTCGATGTAGGGGAAAATACACACATCCCGGGCTCCACCGTCACAATCATGTTCTTGCGCAGGTACTGTCGGCCCCGGTACGGCGGCGGCACCGAAGCAGCAGCAGCACCGCCAACACCAGCACCGACGCCCGCCTGCGCCATGGCACTCATCATCTCGGGCGTGATGACCTCCCTCTTCCCGACGCGCCCGCCCGTCCCCTTATTCAGCAGCAGCAGCCTCTCCCGCCCAGAGACGTCGTGCACCTCCAGCCCGACGTGGTGTCCCAGCCCGTGCGGGAAAAACGCCGCGACGGTGCCCGCGTCCCACACCTCGGCCGGATCCCCCCTAAGCACGCCCAGCTTCAGCAGCCCTTCCTGCGCGACCCGGCTCGCGTGGACGTGCAAGTCAAAAAACAGCGTACCCGGCCGGATCCGCGCGATGCACTCGTCCTGCATCCGCGCCACGACGTCGTACACGGCCCGGCTCTCGGCCGAGAAGCGTCCCGAAATGGGCAGCGTGCGGGTGATGTCGCTCGCGTAGCAGTGCCACTCGCACCCGGCGTCGAAGACGACGACCTCGCGGCCCTCGAGCGGCTCGTCGTTGGCGTCGTAGTGCAGCGTGCTCGCGTTCTTGCCGCTGCCGGCGATGATGGCGTACGACTGCTCCCGCGCGCCCTCGGTGGTGCACCACGCCTGGAAAATGGCCTCGATTTCGCTCTCGTTGCCCAGCTTCAGCAGCCTCTCGGCGACTTTGCGGTGCGCCGCCGCCGACACGGCCGCGGCTTTGCGGATCATGGCGACCTCGTACTCCGTCTTGACGACGCGGGCCTGGTCGGCGGCCGGCTGGAGCGAGGTGGTGTCGACGCGCACCTCGGCGGCCGTCTGCAGCAGGTCGCCGTGCAGCAGCGGCGGCACCTGGTCGGCGTGGAGGACATAGAGCGTCGAACCGGGGGTGAGGTGCCGGTACAGGAACTTGCTGAGCTGCGTCGTGTAGCGCACGTCGTCGACGTCGAGCTGCTTGAGGCACTCGGCGATGCCCGGCGTCGAGCCGAACCAGAGGACCTGGCGCGGCTCGACGTAGGGGATCCAGAGGATCAGGCGGTCCGACGCGAGCTCGTAGGTCACGGCGCAGTCGGCAAAGTTGGCGCCGCTCAGGTAGTAGAAGCTATTCGCGTGTCAGTACCAGTCGTTCAGGGGATAGACATTCAGCTGGAGGGACGTACTATCGCCGCTGTCGGAAGGCCGGACCCATGTCCGAGTCCTCGTAGCTGCGGCTCGGCTCACCGGGCAGGAAAACGAGGCCATCGCTGGCGTTGAGCTCCGCGGCGACCTTGCGGGCGTGGAGTTTGGCTTTTCACAAGGTCAGCATCCACGGACAGCACGCCCACGACAGTGACAAACAGATGGATGACTAGACTCCATACGAGAGACGACACCATCCAGGTCTGTCAAGGTCCCAGCAACGCTTGTCACCGTGACCTGGCAGAACAGTGCGTGAAAGTTAAGGGTAGAGCGCAGAAGCGTACCGGGAAACTTGGTCGGGATGGGCGCAACCGACACAACCGACTCAACCGGCTCAGCCGACGTCTTGACTTCAATGGATCTTTATTTGCGGCGAAACACCGGTCAGCCAGAAGTGAACAATGGGAGACCAAGAAAGAATACGGGGACACGCCCGTCCGGAATAGAGCCCCAAGGAAGAGAGCGCTGACGCGCAATACGACTCCACTCACAGAGCATCAAACTCGTCCACCACAACTACATCGTGATCAATGGCGCTCTCCATGGTTCGGTCACGTTGGAGGGGGTGGTGGTTCCCGGGGGTGTGTGGGCGGTGTTCTTGTTCAGTCCTGTCAATACTCGAACGGGGGAGGGGGCGAGGGGAGGCGGTCTGACGTTGCCTCGCAGTATGGCTCTTGTGTCTTCTGTCGTCGATTTGGGGATCTTGAACAAGCAAACCGGGTAGGTACCTTTTTGCACGCAAGTTGTAAGGTAAGGTCAGTTTCGATGGTATGTCGTCTGCGGCTAAGAAACGCACGGATTACGGGAACACGCCAATTGGAGAAAACTGTGGCTCGAAATGGGGGTGGCGCTTGCGTGGCGTGGCGGGTTCTTGGTGATAGGGTACCGTAGGCCAAGGCTTTTTTTGTCTTCTTTCGATCCAGAGAGATGGGCCAGCAGTTCGCAGGTACATTTGGTTCCGAATGCGCGAAATGCCAATGTTTGTTTGGTTGGACCTGTGGGGAAACGGGGGTGGACTTCTGCAAAGGCGGGACAAGAGGTGGGTGGTGAGTGTGAGGAGGAGGAGGAGGAGGAGGAGAGAGGTTCCAACGTCCGGTGGCCGGGCTTCGTCCTGTCTGGCGCAAAGAGGCTCCGCTTGCTTCGGTGCCTCCGAAGGTAAAGGCTTATGGCAACTCTCGGGTCACCGCATGGCGGAAGGACTGGATCTGTCGGGTAAAGAAGGGGGAGGGGGGGAGCGGACCTGACAAACGGTTATCTCATGATAGGGCGGGCGAAGCTAGCTACTAGTTCCGCGTTTCCCTTTCGCTGCGCGAGCGATGAAATGCTGCCTCTGTTTGGGCACACTGTCCTGGGAATGGAGCCAGGAGAGCCTTCCTATTCTCGTACCGTGTACGGATACAGACCCCCCCCCTTCGGTGCCGAATCGGCAAAGGGTGTGTAAGCCTGTCAGATACCTACAAGTAGGTGAGATGCAAGACGAGCGGTTCCTCATGCCCCCAGCGGTAGGGAAAGAGGCGCCCCGCAGTGAGACTCTTGATAAGGATTTAGCGGAGATATCCCATACATGGACCACGATCCTAAGCTCTGTTCGCTTCTAGCGTCCCCGTCGCCTACAATGTGGAGAGAGCACTGGACAGTGGACACTACCTAGGCATTATTCTGTTCCTCTTGTTTCCTATGGAATGCCTCCCGTCCAGACTCGAGGCGCCATGTACGAAAGAACAAGAAAAAGCCCGCTATCCAATTCCCTCGCAGGAAAGACCTCATTCGGCTAGGTTTCTGCTGACAGCCCCCAAGGTCACTGGGGCATCATCCCCCAAAGTTCGAACCCCCCTGGTTCCATTTCCGTACACAGTTCGCCCGTATGTCTCCACCACCAGAACATCAACCCCAACGGCGAAATGTACTCCGTGTGGATACCACCGTTTGAACGGCTCCCCCAAGTGGGTGACAAAATCGATTTCCTCTCAGCACATCCGAGCACCTCTTTTCCACACTATTCCCAGCATTACTTGTCTAAAATAAAAATTTGAAAAATTATTCTTTTAAAGATCCTATTATAATTTATATACGGAGTAGAAATTTTGGCTTTAAAGGAGTAATGGTTATGCTACTTTGGGTGGAAAGGATATTTCTGAGGATGTATAGCCGGAAATCGATTTTGTCACCCACTTGTCCCCTTCATGATCCCCAGTCTAGCCAGTCTACCGTGCCAGTCGGGATTATACTGTACATGCCCACCTCACCGTCGTCATTCTCACAACCACACAAACATACCTCACCTCATACAGATAGAATACCTACCACGAATACCTAGCACCATACCATTTCGTCAATCAATTCCAGTTCCTTCGTATACCAATCCAACCCATTGGACATTGAACTTCTCAGAAAGCAAAACGGGAGATAAATGTCTCTCGCATCAGCCCCGTCATCCACATCACACCCCCCTTGACTCCCAGGATCCTCCAACCGGATCAAGGTGGAGGGGGGTACCTACTTTGCGCAGAATAACAACCTCACCTTTGCCGTCCTGGAATAGGTAGCTCGGCTTGGGGGCTTACGCCGTAACGCCGCCAGCGCCCCGCACCGCCGTCCATCGCGCCATGCCTTACGGATACGGATACCTACCACACAAACCTCCATACCCACCAGGGCTCTCTCCCCTCGGCCTGCAATGCAGATGCGCGCTGCAATGCCCTGCACTCCATTCGATGACGGCTTCGCGGCTGCACCCTCGGGGACCGTTTGTGTCGCAAGTGGGTGTACCCATTTGCCGTACACACATTCTCGGGCAGGTCCCTGGCCTTCAGGGTGCGTCGCACTTTTGTTCATTCGTTTATCCCGTACCCCACACATTGTCACCACATCTGCAACCCCGTCTTGGTAATTCCATGTCCCATTGTAACGTATACTAGCTGTACTGACAACTACATACAACTGCTGTGTGTGTGTGTGTGTGTGTGTGTGTATACCTACACGCTTTCTCCTGCGTGTATGGCTCGCGGAGGTCGTCTCTTTGACCACCCTGAATCCCAGAACCCAAGGCTCGTGTGAGCCTCTTGACCAATCCAGACATCCCTTGATGATGATGCCATGCAAACTTGATCAAATCCATATCAAGTATGACCGGAACGCCTAGATCGATACGGCCGTGTGTCTCCTTTTCCTCTTGTGAAAGAAAAAAAACGTCTTTCTGTTAAAATATCCCCGCCCAAAATAAATCGCACCCTGAACTAGCAGGGCTCCAAATAAATGCTGGGTATCACTTGAAGCGAAATGGTTGCCTATAGGCCCTGAAATCCGTTCCTACCGAGCATGCCTGCCCAGTTGCTTTGGTAGCCGGTCTCTGCGAGCATCCTCTCGAGCTCCGCAGGCCGCTGCTGCATGTGCGCTCGTCGTGCCTGTTCGATCCGAGCCGCGTCCGGCATCCCAGAGTAGCCCGAGTGCTGTTGGTACATGCTCGATAGGTCGTAGCTAGACTGGTGGTGTGAATGCTGCTGCTGCTGCTGCTGCTGCTGCTGCTGGCTCTGTCCTTGCAGATAGTACGCGGGAGACTGGCCGAGGAGCTGGGTGTCAATGTCGTCGAATGCGCCGGGCATCATAAACGTCTCCTGCGGGCCGCTGACGTTGTGCGTCCCGGGCTTTTGGTATCCCAGTTCCATCATCGGTTGATTGGGGTAGGCGAACGGATCCTCCGACGGGAACATGAGCGAGTCGAGTTTGCTGATATGGTTCATGTTGTGCGGCGGCGGGAACCCTTGGGGCGGACGCTGTGTTGAGCTGGCCGACGTGCTCACCGAGTCTGGCGTCGCCCGTGATGACATGTCCATGCCGAGGAGGTCCTGGATGTTGCTCGCGAGGGACGGGTCCTGGTATCCTGCCTCGGAGATGGGCACGCCGTCAAAAGACGCACGAAGCGGTACCTGCGCCATCCTTCCGTGGGCCATGACCACGCTCGACGGTCGACTTAGTTCCTCGGATCGGCGCTGGTCCATGCCCGGTTGCAGGGCCGGATGCCCGTGAATCGGCATCGAGCTGGCCTTTTGCCCAGGTGCCGATCGCTTCTTGGTAGGGATTGGCCTGGACTTGGCTTCCTGGAGTCTCTCCGGTAATTGTTCAAACAGAACCTACTCTAGTTAGTACGGGCTGACTTGGGACCTCGGAAAAAAACTCACGTTGAGGGCCTCTGTGACCCTGTCGGCGGCCTGGCTCTTGGATTGCAGCTTCGAGACCATGTCTCTGCCAGCAATGGCATCTTCCAGTACCTCTGCCGATCCAATCTTTTCCGGATTCTCAATCGAGTAAAAGACGAGAGAAAGGATGGCAAAGAATTCGGTAAACAGCATAAACCAGTACGGACCGGCCAACACGTTTTGCTTGCGGATCTCAATGCCAATGTGCACAATGTTGCGCGACACGCTGATGCAGGCTGCGGCGCAGGCGTACGAGAGCTCGTCAATGTTCTTGCCCATGCTGAGGCGAGGGGAAACGTAGTGCAGGAATGGGCGGTAGAGAACCAGTTGGACGTGTGCGTAGGCGAATCGCAGCAAATGGCGCACCCTAGACATGTTAGCTTTGAATCAACACGAGTCTGGTGTCAAGTAACCCACCGAATAACCTCCACGGGGCCGTCTGGTCTCGGCCTCCACTGCGCAGGCAGGACCTCGTACCACTCTTGCAACTCGGCCTCGACCCTCTTAATGTTGGCGTAGCTGATGAGGTACGTCGCTCCCGGCTTGTCGCCCTTCATTACGCTCTGGCCAAGCCCCTTCAAGGGGTAGACGAACTTGAGGATCTTGGCCAAGATCTCCATCAGGCGGGTGTGGGCGTTGAACGCCTCAAAGAAGGAAAACGTGCCCGGCGGTGGCGTCAGGATGCCGTCGTTTGTAATGTACTCGTCGTCAATCTCGCTGGGGTACGGCTGGTCAATGTCGTCCGCGTTGAGCATCAGCGGGAACCCGAGCATGGCCGAGACGTAGATATCCATTTGCCGAATGACCCAGAATACACGCTTCCGCACCTCCTGCTCAATGATGGAAATCTTCTCATGCTTCAAGTACCTGTGCAGACCTATGCGCAGGGCTGACCGCAGGGCGATTCCAACAAACGCGTAGCACCCGCTCAGGTTCGAGGTGGCTTGCAGGAAAAGAATCATAAAGAGCAGGGCTTGCAGCGAGGTCAGGTCTCGGCACTCTGTAATGTCTTGCAAGATGCGCCTCGCGGTATCGTAGTACTTCATTCTGCGGGGGTGTTAGTTCTGTCCATGACAAGCTTCCGAGGTTCATACCCTTCTTCGACGGATTCCTTGTAGGCCACTGGGGGCGCGTTCTCGTCCAGGTTTCTGTACATGCAGCCCAGGGACATGACGGCGTAGAGGAGGCCCAGGAACTTGTGTTCCTCCTTGGTGTAGTCGTCGTAAGGTTTCTCGTAGATTCGTTCAAACATTTTGTTAAAGGTCGGTACGTGAACGATGCGGATGAGACACGTCGCGCAGTTGAGCGACAGGTAGCAGAGGCTCTCGGCTACAGCTTTCGGGGGAAGCTCCGGGGCGGTGGACATTGTCGAGTCGAACGGGGAGCTGGCTGCGGATGCTGGCGAGTCCAGGTTGATGAGGCCCGCAGGTCTGTCTGGCCGTGGGAGGAAGGGCACCTTTGTGACGGGGCCCATCATGCCTCGAAAGTTCTCCTTCATGCGCCGCAAGAAGACGGCCCCAGACGATACGCCGTGAAAGTCCCAGCCGCCCTTGTCGTCGAGGTCCAGCTGGCCAATGGACTCGATCATGGACAGAAGCTGGGGGTCCTCCTTCTCGGGGGCTACAAAAGGGTCGTGCCTGAGCTTGGCACTCTGGATTCTGCTGTGCTCTCTGTTGCGGAATTCTTGCTGGACGGCCGGATCCAGTGTTGGGTCAGCCAAGTCGACGTCTGGAATAAACTTGCGCAGGAGAGTCTCCGCGCGCTGCAGGCGGCTCTCCAATGCCTCAATGTACTGGGGCGCAGGGTTTCTCCGCCGATTGGAGGGCTTGTCATATGTGCATTCTGCGGAAATCAGTCTTCTGCACCAAGGCAATGGCACAAGGGGGGGGGGGGGGGGGGGAAGGCTCACCGTAGCTATAAACTGAGCAATGGGTGCAAGGCTGCTTGCCATCGCACTTGATCTTCTTGCGCCTGCACTCGTCGCACGCTCTGGTAACACGGCGACGCTTCTGCACGGGGGCGTTGGATCCAGCTTCGCCGGGCTTTTCGTCCATGTCTGAGCCAGAATGGGCACTTCCACTCGAAGAAGGCGGCTCCTTGACTGGCCAGCCATTTGCAGAAGGAGCTGCGGATTCGTCGTCCGACATGTTGCCGGAGGCGTGGGAGTCTGGAGGTGAATTGTTGCTGTTGTTGTTGGTGGCGGCGGCCTTGGCAGGCTGAGACGGAGGACTCATTTGGGGAGTCGACTCGCCCGTTGGAGCTGTCCTGGGGTCAGCTTCAGGAAGCTGACAATACGTCGTAAAATAGGTGGTGGTTATGGTTGTGGTGGTGGTGAGCACCCGGTTCTCGGTGTAAGTGCAGTTATGGAGGACGAGCTCTTTGCATATTTGATAGTACAAGGGTCGTGGTCCGATAAGCCAACCCAATCGCTAGGAACGGCTTTCGGACTGATCAAGTCTTGAACATGAGAAGAACGAAACGTGTGCCAAGACTTCGCGGGGGATAGAAGGAAGATAAGTTTAAACAAAAACGGGAAGACCAGAGAGGAGCCGGGGGATCTTTTGCCTCTTTGCTGGGCTCGTCTGGGCAGGCCGCAGCTGGGGGGGTGGAAGGGCCCTTGTTTAAGGCCGAGCAGGGTGCGGTACGAAGCAGCGGTGCAGCGAGGAGTGAGGCCAGGGCAGGTGTGTGTAAGTCGCGCGGAAAGCTGAGCGCGAGGAAGAGGATGGATTACGTAGCGGGTAGGTAGCGTCTCGGCCGGGGTTGGTTGAGACAGCAGAGTACACGACTCGAGGGTATGGGGGATATGGTCCCGCACGGTGTAGTCCCGCAGTCCCAGTAGCGCGGTCGAATGCTTTACCATGGTACAAAGATACGTATTCGACACACGGGGCAGGACGCAGGACGTGGACACGATCTGGCGGGCAGCGGGTAGGCCCCTGGTTGCGACGGTGCTGGATGGATGGTGGACGGTGGTGGTGCTTCTTCTTCGTAGAGGAGGGGGTGTCTCTAGGTCACCAAGTAAAGGTCGCGGATAGGGTCAACAAGAGAGGGAACGGAGACATTACGAAACCGTCGCAAAGGGGGATGGGGAAGCTAGGACGAAAAGGCGATAGGGATCGGTACGAGGGTGAGGTGGTGGTGGTGGAGGCCGAGGGGGGAGGGGAAAGACTCAAGAAAGAGAGCATGTATGTACATGGACTTGGACGATGAACAGGGGCGGCCATAAGGCAGACCACGTAGACCAATAAGCCAAGATGAATAAGGGTAAGGCGAGCAGAAGAACAAGAGAGAGCAGCAGCAGCAGCAACAGTAAGTTCGCAACAGCATGGCTTGGGATGGCTTGGGGCCCTAGGGGTGGGCGGAAGCATCAGAGGGACAAGACTTGGAGAGACTGGGAACTGGACCAAGAAAGGGCCCGCCGACGGGGGACCGGGAGGGGGGGCGTATTTGCAGGGGAGATGGATCATGGGAGGTACAAAGTACAGTATGATGGTGGAAGCTCGGTCGATACGGTGAGAGAGATGGGCGGCAGTCATTTTGGGTCTACCGCCTGGTGACAAGCAGTGAGAGTTGTAGATGGGCAGAGCAACTCCGCGGGAGGTCCCTTGTGCTGAATGGAATCCATTGCCTCCCACAGAGTACCTACGCAATTAGTATATGAGTGACTAAACGACAAAGCGTGTAAGAGGTGCTGTGGTTGCTCTTTGTCCACATGTACCTTTCCGCTGGGAGGAGTGGGAGGAACGAGGATGCTGCAGCAAATGTGCGGAAAGCCAAGACGAAACAAAACGGACGAAGAAAGAGCTCAGGGTTGTGAGGTTGGCGGCTGCCTTGCCTGCATGCCGCAGCTGCGACTGCGACTGCGACTGCGACTGCGACTTTGACCTAAGCGTTCGAAGGGGGCATCCTGATAGCACTTGCTCACTCAGTAGCAGTCGAGGCAGTGACAATGGTCTGAACAACTGGGCAGTAAATTCAGCAATAAATTCTCAGTCTCGACTCTCGCTTCTTGTCGGGATCGGTGGTGACTTGAGCTCCGCATTCCAAGGACCACGCTTGTTCCCGTGTTAAAAGCGCCCGTTCTAGTGGACAGCACAATGACGAGATCGGAGTTAGCTGGGGGCTTCTATCTTAAGCAACTCGAGCTAGGCAATCTTGAGTTAGAAGAGGCCGGGGCACTAGTGAGTGGTATCCGGTGCGTGCCATCTTGTAATCAGAATGGAAAGGGTTCTTTTGCAAGAGACTCCGAACGGGACTAGGTGCTGAGCTTCTGGTTGTGTTGTGAATAGAGGGTTGCGGTGGGCAAAACATCTCGTTGATGATGGCGACAGAGTACGCGTGACAATTGCCTCTGAGAATACTCCATGGTCTGTACTTCGTCCCGCGCGGGAAGACCACTCTGTGAGCACCGAGTATGCGCAAGTGTCTCCAGTCGGCGAGTAATCAGAAATATGTGCAATGGTCGATGGACAGTATACGGGACGGGCGAGCGAGTCGAGTCCCTACCCGGCCCCGGTTGATTTGCTCAAAAGAGGAATTGAAAAGAAAAAGGGCGGAGTTCCTTCGGGAATGGAATGCAGCCCAGTTTTTTCATGCTCAAATGGAGATGCATCTGGAACCGATGAGAGGGACGTGAAAACGGGCCAGTCTCCACTTGGTCGAGCCGATGGTACTACTGCATAGAATCTACATGTCAGTCAAGTTGCAACTCGCAAGGCCATGCATGCTTTGCGTAGTGTACAGAGTAGTTGGTGTTGGAGTCTTGGTATGCGCAATACACGAAGAGGGGATGAATAATACTGTGTATCCGTACATAGGGGACGATGGAAAGAAAAAAAAATGCGGCGCCAGCGGCGTTCGTGCATGCGTTTGGATGCAGGGTGGTACCGGGGGTACGTATGCCTTTTTACCCTTTGTGTATCTTTGTTGTCTTCAAATCTTGCTCAAGGCCAACCGTTGGCTTGGATTTCCGTGTCATTCGGTCCCGTACCGCAATTGCAGACCGCCACGGAATGAATCATCCCGCCCGGCCTCGTCCGGTAGATCCATCGCGTCCAGCCTCCAAGTCTGATGGTCCACCACCTGCCGCCGTTACGTGCCCGTCGTGCCCGTCGTGACCCGACAGCGTAGGTAGGCCAAGGACTCTTCGTAGCTGCTTGGGACTTGGGACAAAGGCGCTTTGTCTTGCCATGCCAGTCGATACTCGGTAGACCACTTCAATTGCCTCTTTTTTCATAAGGGTCAGTAGCTGGAACAGGGGTGAAATGAAAACTCAGGCTCTCATCTCAGTCAACGCTGACTTATTGAACTCACACGCCAGGCCCGGGTTCTTAGTTGACGGAACACGCGGGATGCTATTGGTTCGGAGGCGCTTCCCAGGAGACCCCCGTTTGAGCTTCGACTGGGAGGACCCCCCTTATGCACTGCGGGCATAGCTGTATCTAGGTAGTCCAGTCCAATGATCAATCCAGCGCGCAAAAGGGAAGAAAAAAAGAAGCACGAAAAAAATACAGCTAGAGGTGGTTTGAGAGCAGCCCGAGTTGTCACCAACCGCCAACCGCCAACCGCCAACCCCTACACCTGGGAGTTTGTCAGTGCTAAGGCTCATCGAAACAGTCGGTCCCGCGAGTTGGCGGAGGACGCTTCCAAGCAGGCACTGGCACGCAGGTTCGGTTTCCAACATGTAGGGGCAGAGCCTGCTGGCTCAAACCGTCCGTGGATCTGCTAGCGAGCCCGCCGCCCCGTCACCCGTGAGCTTCCAGCCTTTTGTCCATCCCATGCATCGCATGAGAATGGCGGCGGTATGGCCAACGGAGTACTGTCACTTTGAGCGAGTGGCCCAGTCATGTCCTCCATGGTTCGACGACAGCATCAATCTGCGATTGCCTTTTCATCTGCGACTAGTGCCCCTCCTTCGGTCTCCACTCATAACCCGAACAGCACGCCGCAATCTTCCCGAGGCCGGGATCGAGGGTCCAATGCCTCGTTTGTGTTTGCATCGCGATGGTGGAGAGAGAGAGCAGGGCGATGCCGCGATATGTGTGTGTACGACACACGTAGGCCACCGCTGTCGAGGCGTGTAATGTAGAAGCGAAGCAGGGGGCGGCGGAAAGAAAACGAGCACGTTGCTGGGACTCTTGGAGGGGCTTGCCAAGGGCCAAGAAAAGAGGACGACGACGACGACCACAACGGCGGCGAAGGCGAGTAGACGGTCTTGACCGACGGCTCTTTGGACGAGTGTCATGAAGCAACTGGTCTGGTTTGTGTTTGTGTGGGCACATGGCTCACGCCCCTCTTGGAACACCGAGGGTTTATCGCCAGCAATTTTTTGGGGGTTGATTCCCCTCCCCCCTCCCCTCGCTCTCCATGGTGCCCTCGGCGACTCTTGGCTTTCTTGCGGGTGCTCCGTACGTCTTGTTACTTGGGAGCATATGGCGCGGTATCGCAAGATTTGATCCAACTTGAGGCCCCCCCCCCCCCCCCATAAGGCCGAAGCGAATGCAGACCGGTGGGATGGAATACGCATGGAATATTCGAAAAGGGCTTCGTTTGTGGATTGCCGTCGCATGGCGGACGGGACGTCGTCAAAATGGACCGCCCTACAGAGGAACAGGGCCCAGGGCTGAGGGAACGATGAGGTTCTGAAGTCTTGGCATCCGTCATTGGGGACGTGTCTGTGGTGTATTTTGACGACGAATTTTCTCTTTTCGCGGGTGAGCTGCTCTCAGATTGGCGTGGTTTTTGGTGGGAGACCAGCAGAGTCCCTGGGGGGGTGCTTGGACTGGGGGTGGTGAGTGGTTAGTGGTGAATTTGGGGGGGAGTGGAGGAGGGGGAGGGGGATGAACGAGGAACCACGGTGCCACACCTCGACACCGCATCTCACCTGGGCTGCGGGCACACTCGCTGGGCTGACGGGGCTGGAAGGGAGGTGGTCCGCGGGTGCGGGCATGTGGAAGGTGCCCAGACCAAAGAAAGAGAGAAAAAAGAAGTGACGGACCACTCGTCCACTCCCACTCCCACCAAAACGCGTCAGCCCAAGAGTCAGCCCAAGAGCGGGGGGAGGGGGGAGGAGGAGTATGGTACAGACGGTAAAGACGGCGCAAGGGCGGTAGGTACATCGGGGAATCGGGAGAGGAGGCAAGAGCTTCCTGGGTCTCAAAAGTCTTGGCACGCTCGATTTCCTTCGTTTGCCAAGACTTCCACCCCGCCCCTTCGCGCTTGCGCTTGTCTTGACAACATGCATCGAATATCAGAGAGCCTCTTATGGATATCAAACAGATCTAGATACTGCCAATTGCCAGCGTTTTTCTCGCGGTTTTTTTGCTTGCAAAACTGGCCCAAGACGCCCTCGGTCGGTCGCCGACTCACCACACACGCAGATACAGCAGGCACTTGGCTGACCCCCTTTTTTTTTTTCCTCTCTGGCAATGGAACTTACATTACACGCCCCCAGGGAGTGAACGGATTGGCATTGGCCTGACAAAAATCAAGGAAACGGCCACGTTACCTTTCTTCCCCTCGCGCGCGCCCTTTGCGGTTCGCCCGTCCTCGTTATTTCCGCAAAATTTCGTGCAAGAAAGAGAGAGAGAGAGAGAGAGAGAGAGAGAGAAAAGACCATTCAATGCATGTGCTGTCCACTAGGAGACGAGAAGTCGGGATTATTATGGGGCGCACTGTATGGACAAGTCACAGTGCGAGCGAGCAACCACAGAGGGAAGGCACACACAACGCAACACCCATCTCTCAGGAGACTTTCCCAGTCGGGTTGTCGCTACGATTCGCCAAGGTACGTATCTTTCACCTGCACCTCACCTCACCTCAACCCACATGGCAAGCCGCAATGGCAAGCAAAGCAACCTAACATCAGGTCCATCAATAGACACAGACCATGGGCAGTCGCCCCGTCCTCGTCCCAAGGTCTGGCACCAAGGTCTGGCACTAAGGTCTGGCTAGCACCATCGTGCCAGAGAGAGCCACTCATCTTTTGGATCCGACTCGTCTGCTTCACTGCCGCCAGCTCATATCCTTTACCTGTCTCGTGTCTGATGTATCGGAATCGTCATCTCAGTCAGTCCAGGCTAAGCCAAGGTATCAAGACTAGTACGGATAGGCACACACACACACATCAGAGTACCTGCGCAGGGGCCACCCGACCCGACCGCAACGCTACGGATACCTTTGCACAGTGCTCACTGCTCACAAGTTACAACTCGGCCCGCCGACGAGTGACGCGACAATAGCAACAGTGCCCACTTCTTGGGACAATGATGGAATCTCCCGAGCAGGCGTTCCTGACACAGACGCGGGCAATCCAACATCCACCAAAACGTCCAATGTCGCTGGGCCTCGTTATGGATCCCCTCATGACTCTCGACTCACATGGCACTTTTGCTCTTACACTTTCAACCCAACCTTTTTTTCCCCCCTATGCTTGCTTCTCTTCGCAACCGTCCCGGCCCTTGATCAGCCATGATAGAGCCCATTATCCATAACATGACAGGCCCAAGGCCGAGCGCTCAAGGACGCACTCCCACACTCAATCCTATTCCTCCAGGACCCTGACCTTGCTCCGGCCCTACTAATCCCAGCTTGAACCTTGGGCCCGAACCTGGCCATTGCACTCTATCTTTTTTTCCCCCTCTCAATTATAGAGACACAGAGAGTCCAAAATTGCCCCGACGGCACAACCTTTAGACGCCAGACACTCTCGTCAAATCAGGGCTGTCGTCTACGTAGTATACAATCATACACTGGAAACTTGAGCTGAATCTGAGACTGCCATGCAGGGATCGTTTGCAATTTGAGGCCCATCAACGCATGCCCAGTCAAGATGAAGCCCATCTCTTCATCGGAAACCGAGCGTGGATGACTCGAGATCAACGGCATCCATCTCAAGCAACGGAACCTGTCCACGTACGGCATCTTCTAAAAGCACAGCCTGCAGCGCATCGCCTACAGCAAGCAGCCAGCATCCAGCTGCAAGCCGCAGAAGCACAACACACCTCAACGTCCCAAGTGTCCCCCCGTCCTCTTGGAACAGACCCTCGGCCAACTACCAACCCCTGTATCTGTCACTCTGGGTACGTACCGGTGTTGGCCTTACCGAGCACACCTCCTAGCTCGTGGCTCAGGTGTGGTGTGGCATGCCTTGCTTGCAGCCCGTCTGCAGGTTGCTGAGGCGCTTTCGATTTGGATTCTGCTCCGAGTCCCGGCCACGATGCTGGTGGCCTGCCCTGGCCCTTGCTGAGGTAGGAATCCCGAACGAGCTGATCCAATCCCAATGCTGCGTTGCTGGCACATCTTCAAGCTCGGTCATCAAACGAATCAGTGCACCAGCGGGCCCAGAGGGCGAACGGAGCGCAGGGTGCGGGTGCCGCTTCCATGAGCGAACAGGTACGGATACGGCATGCAGTTGAAGTGAGAGACCAACTACCTTTCCCCATGTGGACTGTCTAGATAGCGACATGCTTGGAGCGAGAGGCTAAAGGTTTCTACTCCGTAGTCTCGGTGGACTCGAGCAAATCTTACAGCTGTTCCCCGGCCCCATCACAATCACTTGCCTCTCATTGTTCTCACAAGAATATCAGACGCAAGGTAAGGTATTCACGCAAGTCCCTGGCCAGTTCGATGGACCAATTGTACATACAGATACTTGTGTACTCCATACGAAGTAAAAGGTAGAGCTCCATTTACGGACAGTTTATCGCCAAGACTTTGTCCCTTAATCCCACTGATCGACCGACTGCCGTATCTGGCTGGCATCTACCAATCATCTGGGCACCAGTTCGGCACGATCGCCACTGTCATTTTTGGGGATATTCTAATTTTGATACCTCTTTCGCTGCTGCCTGCTCCTTTACATTGTAGTTGCACGATACTTTGAACGGGGTACCTCGTCACGAACTGTTTGATCAAATTGCACCTGCCCTGGCATCTGAGTGAGTACTGAGCCATTGCTGCGACGGACCCGCCAAGGTACCTCCAACTCTTTATTCAATTACCCCGCAAAAAACGACCAGGTCACCACCACACTACGTACCTTACCTTACCGTCTCTGCCGCTCATTTGCTACAGACCGTTGACGTCCTGCTGTTTGTCAGAGAGCTCTCATCGTTCCTCTCCCTCCTCCATACACCACTCAACCCGGCAACAACCATCTCGGACAGCCTTGCTCATCACACTCTCCCAAAGTAGAGCCCGCACACACAGAAACGCCGTAGTGCGACACGATACGACTGGGCCTTTTAAATCCCTCTCATCTCTGCAGAGTGCAGCTGCCAGGCCAGGCCCCCCCACCCCCGAGTCACACTACAGAAAGCGGCAAGTTCCACGAGCTGGTGAGTTAGGAGCCCTTTCACTTTCCACGAGCTTCCCTTCCTTCCCGCCTGGTACCTTGCAAACAGGCACCGGCCCCTCTCCCCCAAATGTCACTGGCGCCCCGTCCAACGAACGGCCCAACGACTCCAAACACCTCGACCCTGACCTGAGAGTCCCGGCCAGTCAGACCAGAAAGCCCCTCATTCCCGATAATCCACGCATTCCACCATTCACAACCACATCCACCCCCAATCCCTTTTTAGGCCAACTTTAACCTGCCATCGGTGACATCGGCCACCGCACCTCGCTCACCCGCCCGGCACACATCCCCGTACTCCATACGCCGTGTCGCCTAATACCTCATATTCTTCATTCACGGCTGGGCCCCTGCTGACTTATTTCGAGATTTGGCGCATCTCGCACGGCTCCATCAAACTCGAGTCGCCTGATACGATATCGCAATCTCCATCATGGCTGCCGCTAGCGCAAACGCCAACGTCGACTCCAACGCCCTGCTCACCTTCTTCACCCAGATGGACGATCAGGGAGGTGTCATTGTCAGAGGTGCGTCTCCGTCCGTCCAAGCTGAGCCGCCTCCCTCTCTCTCACCTCACCTCGCTGTCTCTCCCTACACCGAAACGGACCTATCCGATCCGTCTCGAATAGGAAGTCAGTGCCAAGACGCGCGTCCTTGCTAACGCCGCTGTCACTCTCCAGATACCCCAAAGCTAGATCTAGATCTGTACATCCAGAACTACACAGGTACGATGTTTCCTACCGCAGCCCGTCTCAACCTTGTTTCTCGTAGACTGCGCCCTGCTGCCGTCGCCGCAGTGCCACTGCCCGCACGCGCGCTCAGCCTCCCCGCGTCTCCGCCCCCTTTTGCCCGCGTGCCAAGGCTCCGCCGCCTCCAGGGGGGAACTGCTTCTCACCACTGCCACAGGCCGTACCCGCTTTGAACGTCTCTTCCTCATCGGCCGGACATGCGTGCCCCTCTGTGTCGACGCCCTGAAGGCTGCAGTTGCCGAAGCGAAGAAGGGCCAAGATACGCAGCGTTACCGCGATGTCTTTGAGTTGATTCACATCGCCGCTCCCTCAGAGCCAGAAGCCACATTCGACTCATCATGGATCGAGCTCACGGATAGGGCCAACAATGCCAAAACGCACGCCCTTGAGAGCGAGTTGAAGGGCTATAAGATGAACCTGATCAAGGAGAGCATTCGGGTCCGTCCAACCTTGCCATGTACGCGTCCCAAGGCTAACTGAGGGTAGATGGGCAACGAGGACCTGGGCCGTCATTTTGAGAGCATCGGCGACCTTAACAACGCTGGCGAGGCCTACAGCCGGATGCGCCCAGACGTGAGCACATCCAAGCACATTATCGACGTCGGCAAGCACCTCGTCAATGTGACTCTGCAGCGTCGAGAGTGGCCCATGGTCATTGCCAACCTGAGCAAGATCACCGGTGTCCAGAACGGTGACGAGGAAAAGGGCTTGCAACCCTACGTCAAGATCGTCCAGGGCATCGCCCTCATGGGGCTCGAGAAGTTTGACGAGGCGGCCAAAAGCTTCCTGCAGACGGATGCCGGCAAAGAGGGAGTGGACTACAGCAATATCGCGAGCCCCAACGATGTGGCAGTGTACGGTGGCCTCCTGGCTCTGGCAACCATGGACCGGAAGGAGCTCCAGGCTCGTGTCCTCGACAACCAAAACTTTAGAACGTTTTTGGAGCTGGAACCCCACATCCGCAAGGCCATTTCGCTCTTTGTGAATGGCCGCTACTCGGCGTGCCTGGCCATCCTCGAGGCGTATCGCGCAGACTACCTCCTCGACATCTACCTCCAGAAGCACGTCCCGACGCTCTACTCGCAGATCCGGAGCAAGTGTATAGTGCAGTACTTCATCCCCTTCTCCTGCGTCACCTTGAGCAGCCTCGAAGACGCATTTGCCGTTCCTGGCAAGCCACTCATTGACGAGCTCGTCGCCATGATCCGGAGCGGGGTTTTGCAGGCCCGCATCAACACAATTGACAAGGTGAGTATCCGCGGCCCCCGAACGTGTCAAATCGCACGGTATGCTGACGCACGAGCCACAAGACGTTGGTCGCCGTGTCTCCGAACCCCCGAGCAACGTTGCAAAGGATGGTCCTCGACACGATTGATGCCTACGAGCGGGACGCCACGGAGCGGATCCGGCGTATGAGCATCATTGCGGCGGATATGGAGGTCAAGAATATCCGCAAGGGTAATGCCCATGCCGGTGCGCAGGGCATTGATGAGCTCTGGTTTGAGCAGTCGAACCGGCCGACGGTGGCCGGCGGCGGGGGCGGCGACAACATGAGCTGATGGCCCCTTCGATGCGACGGCCGCGCCGCGCGGTGACGGTGATACCGGCCGAGTGGTTGTCCTTGTCCGTGGGTCGGACGCGAGAGAAGCTGCAGCACGCCGCGGGCCTGCAACTGGAATGCTGACAACCGGGGCACTTTTGGTGATCCACCTTGGCGCCGTAGTCGCAAAAGCCTAAAATATTCGGGTGGTCGACTGCCAATGCATAGCTGCAGACTGGGCGGTCTCGCGACAGGTCATTGGTTATCTCGAACAAAAAGCATACGTACGCCTGCCAACACGTCTCTTGTGCCGTGGGATCATTCAGACGTCATGGCACTTTTGTGCTAGGCATGTCATTAGCCACTGGGATCGGGCATGGAGCTTCACGCAGCGGCTGGGACGGTGGAGCGGCTAAAGGAACAGGCGGCGGCGGTGTTGATCGCGGGATCCCCGGGGCCGATAGAATGAGGCTTACGCAGCAGGCATAGAAATGTGTCAAGAGAAAATGGTTTTCCGTCGATTGAAAGCGTTGCTTTTGTGCTTGGGAACGGCCCGGAATAATGCAACTTCTCGCCCATTGTAATCGTTTATGCAGCCCACCTGATTGCGCTTTCGCCCGAACTGTGGCCAATCCGTCTACTGGTCCAGTCCCTACCCTACAGATACTGGTTAATGTTCTTTTCGGGCCTAACGCAGAAAGTTAAGCTTACCCTGCCGACGGATTTATGAACGATACCCGACCCTTATATCGCCTCGGGGTCTTGGCAAAAAGTGTTTGCCTGCACAGTGCCAGTCGGTTCCTCGCCTACCTTACCTTCGCCAGTCCCCACCCCCCTCAAAGGATAATAAAGTACGGATGCAGATACAGACTAGCAGAAGCCTTCTTTTGAGGTGTTTATAAAAAGAATGTGCGATGATCATCTGGGGGTCGCAATCTTTTCCACCGAGGCAACTGGGCAACATTTCCGTTCGTTAAGACGGATAATTCCCCTTTTGTCTACCCTCCTCACGGCGAAGAGAGAGAGAGTACCGCAAATAAGAGCCGGTGAGTCTACAAGATGGGGCTCCAGCCGAGGAAGAGAGAAGGGGGGGGGGGGGGGGGCCAAGCGGCGCTTCTCACGCAAAGACCACATTCATCAGACAGGGGTGCTTTGGAGACCTTGCTCCAAATCCCTGGAGGGAGGGGTGTGTGATAAAAGTACATTTGGTTCACTTTTTTTCCTTTATGGTGGGTATTTTTGATTTTCTGCTCCCTCCTACGGCGGTTCTACCTAGCCTGCATCAGGCAGTCCGTAGGTTTTTGTTCTCAAGCAGTTCCCCTGTTCTTCCTACCCCCCGGCCCCTCCTAGGCTGGGCTCCTACCTAGTCCTCCATCGTCAATGATGCATGGGGATCCATCATCCACACCAGGCACAGGGCACCGAGCATGTCCACAATCGCGCTTCGCTTTCGCCTTCCTGACGATTATTAGCCCCCCCTCTCTCTGTGTGTCTCCGAGGTATCATCCGTGTGGTGGAATTGTGCTCCCCGTGTCGAAGCGCTGACCCGGGAGTAAAATACATCCGCTAGAAATGAGAAAAAAAAAAGACAGGCTGTATGAGCAAGATAGTACAATGGGTATGATGTTTTGTTCGGGTCTCCAGAAGTGACAAGAGAAGGGGGAAAGGATGTAGCAGTAAGGGGGTGAGAAGGGGGGCGGCATGACATGCGACTTTGCCCAGTTTCTGTGTCCCACCCTCAACCACCGTTCGAGTTCCATCCGGATTGGCGATCCGGGACACGCCCAGGAGTCTCGAAAAGAGTTTTTCCCCCTTCTCGTGCCGTCTCGGTCTCTCCATCTGGGCCACCCTTCATCATGCGGTCCCTCGGGGACTAGATAGCAAGGCGTAATGGACACGGCGGAGCGACTCGGCGATCGTGATGTATTCGTAATCCACCGACAATACACACAGTAATTCGTAAATCATCCCATCAACTGCCGGACGTCGGTGGGCGGCCAGCGGACCTGCGCAAAGGTGAGGAGGCGCTTAATGCTCTGCAGGTACTTGCGCGTGACCTCGTCGCCCATGACGTGCCCGCGCTCGCCGTCGTGCAGCTTCTCGCGGGCGCTGCGCTCGTGGATGCCGACCATGGTGACGCCAATGGGCCAGGCGGCCTTGCCGATAGAGAGGCGGAGGTAGCCGTCGTTTGCGTCGACGTAGCGGCGCTCCTGTGCGGCCTTAACAATTTCGATAATGGGCGCGAGGAGGTCGTCGTCGAGGTCGTACTTTTCGAATTTGCGAAAGAGCTGTACATAGTTAGCACGTTTTGAAGACAGTCAGTTGTAGATAGAGAGAGGCATGGTTGCATACCGGCTTGAGGTTCTCGCGACTCTGCACCATGGCGCTGTACGCCGTCTTGCTGGCCGTCGTGTCGCGCCGCTCCGCCTCCATTGCCTTTTCGTACTCGGTCAAGACCATGGTGAAGTAGGAGGCCAGCTGTCGGAACAGCCACCGCCGGCCCTCCTTGTCCTTGGGCACCGCCGCGTCCACCTTCATGTCCTTCTCCTCCACGAGCTGCAGCGTCGTTGGGATGGGTCCCTTTGTCACCACCGTCGTGAGCCGCCTGTACCGCCTCAGCCTCGCGCCGTGGCCCTCGCCAAAGAGCGTCGCTGGCTCGCCCAGCGCGCGCAGCTTCTCGGCGAGCTGTCCGTCGGGGATATCCTCCATGCCCTCTTCGACGGCGACATCGTCGTCGTCTTCAGCGGTGGATTTGACGAGCTCGGGCAAGCCCAGCCGTTTCCGCCGCGCGCGTTCCTCCTCGGCTTCCTTCTCCTCGCGCCGCCGCCGTGACTCCTCGGCCAGCTTCTGTCGCTTCTCCTCGCGGATCTTGTTCTCTGCCGCGTCGTCTTCATCGCGCTTGCGTTTTGCGGCGGCTTTGGCTTCCCGCTCGGCCTCGACGCGGGCTTGTTCTGCGAGGTAGTCCTCCCTGCGCTTCGCTTCGACGTCGGCTCGTTTGATGTATTTCGAGGAGGCTGCTGCTGCTGTGGAAGTGGGTTTCTTGGACTTGTCCAGCTCCTTGGACATGAGGGCTGCAAAATCCATCTTGGCGTCGGTTCGCTATCGCTGTCGTCGGTCGGGGGGTACACTATGGTCGGTGTCTCGTGTGTCTCGGGTGGGTCCGTTCGGTCGTGGGTATCGCCAGTCTTCCCCCGTCGTGTGTGTTTTCCACAGCAGAACTCGCCTCCACGTCGGTGAGATGTCGTCAAACGAGAACGGGAGAAAACCGGATAAAGCGTTGCCGGATTGACAATTAGAAAAAAGCTTAGTTTTTTCGGGAACGGCGCCCTGCGTGTGGTGGACGATCCATGCATGGATGCTTTGGAAGATCGCGCTTAACTTGCACAGCCTCACTCGCCTACGACCTTGACTCCAGTCGGGAGGGACGCACGCCCGCACCTCTTCGTCCACGCACACCACACCGCAAATACGTACTCCTTACGCTCTTCTCTCACACACAAACGCACGCGGCAACTGCAGCAGTTTTGAACTAGTTCCCGCTCTTCCCTTCCCTCCTCTTTTTTGAACCCCCCCGTTTGATTCCCTTTTTTGGGGTCCTAAAACGGTGCTTGTTTGTACCTGTTCGTCGCAAGGGGACCTGGGGCCTGGAGCTTGTCAAAAAGGAACCATCGAGCTTGTTTTCACTACCAATACTCCACACAATCGAGTATACGTATACGTACTCCCCGACGTCGTCTCTTCTTCACGTCGAAGCTCAGGTTGGCTGTACCTGGCGGTCGTCGGCATGGCTTCCCATCAGCGGGAGGATACTACGCCATTCCTTCTGCAGCTTTTCTATAAGAATGGGTCATTTCACAGGTATGTCAGGTCTCCATGATGCCTGGTGCTATTTCCTCATGCTAACAGACCTATAGAACAGACGAGTTCACTTCGAGGAGCCTTCCACCCTTCCTGTCACTCTACACATGGCCCGACTGTTCCCTAGACGAGCTCGCCGAGCTCATCACAGCTGAAGACCCGGCGCTGCTACCGAGCCCTTGCGTGGGCACGAGGCTCGCCTTCCGCCTCATCTACCCCGACACCCGCAATGCGGCAGCCAACGCGGGAGGGCACCATCACCACGGACAAGCGCAGGGGCCACGGTTCATGGTCAAGGACCTGGGGAGCGTGGTGCTCGGGGACGGCACGGCGGATGCGCTCCTGGCTGCCGACGGCGAGGGGGAGGAGGGGGTAGACGATGTTGACATGTCTGGCGCTGCTACTGCCGGCGGCGGCGCCCAACAACCCGACGACGCTGACTCGGCCAAGGACAAGACGCTTAAGGAGGTCAATTTCGTGGTCGGGGACTACGTCTCGTGCGCTATACTGCCGCCGCTGCCGGACGGCTCGGTGGCGCCGGCCTTGACTGCGCGGAACGATAGGGCGGCGGGGCAGTTTGGCGGTGCGAGAGGCCCGATGGGCGGTCCGCCGTCGCAGGGGTCGCGTCGGGACGCTGGGTTCGGGGGACGGCAGAGCTGGGATAGAGACCGCCGGCGCTCTGGGTTCGGAGACGGTGGGTTCCCCGAGGGAGAGTGGCGGAGGGGCGAGAGGCTGCCTGATGACCCACCGGACCGGTCTCGTGGTAGAGGTAGACGACCCGACAGGTGGTGATTCGACTTGCAGTTGTGTTCCCGGGTGACGGGGGTTTGTGATTTGGCACGGCGTTATGGCTCGTTTGGAGGGTATACCAGGCGGCGTTATGGTCACTTGAAAGCGTCGTGGGGTTCACGTCTGCTTGCTTCAAAAAAATTGGGTGGGATCTGCGACTGCATTGAAAGCAGTGCAAACATCCTGCGATCGTCATGTTGCACTTGAGAAAAGTACTTGTTCGATGTTCCATTCCTCTACTCCGGGCCACAGTTCCGGACCTATCTACACAATATTCCCCTCGATATCGTGCCCCGTCTATCGCTCGTAAACCAAGTCGCCCTTGCGCTTCGCCCGAAGGTCCCAGAGGCCCTGTAAACCGGTCAGTATGTGTACTTCCGGCGTTCCGAAGGGGTCACAAGAAGGGACTCACGTCGGTCTTGTAGCCAATGTAGCCGACGACAAACGGCACAAAGACGGCGTACATAAAGGTGACGCGGGCGGTTCTCGGGGTCCAGCGGAAGAAGATGTGTCTGTTGCTCTGCATGTCTGTTGGGTTGCTCTAAAGTCAGCCCTCTCGCTCCTCTCCATTGTCTCCCCACGCCCACGGCAGTCCAATCGCGCGGCGAACGGATCTTCTCGCATCGTACTCGGCGGTTCGGTGGAAAGGGAAACGGTCTACGTACGTCCCAACTTGACCAGGGCCGGGTCAAGGGCCAGCTCTAGTTTGATCGAATTAGCGTTCTGGTCGTATTTTCGGCGTCAATTGGGGCACTCACTGTGGTGGTGGCCTGCCATCTTGATTGATGATCAGGGCCGTTTCGAAGGTGAATCAGAAAGAAATTGATTCGGTCGGCCGACGAGGGTTTGCGGGGTTCCGAGGGGCAATTGCTGCTTCGCTCGTCAACGTGAAGCTCCGTGATGGCACAATGGATCGCGAGTCTTGGGAATTGAGTGCTTAGGTAATGGTCTTCTGCCTCGACCGTCAGGCATCAACCAATCAAGCGGCACGCATTAGCCAGACTGAACGGTCACGCACTGTGCGCTGTGTTGCTGATACCTCTTTCTGCCACAGTGTCCTGCGCCCGCTCAACACTGCTGGGCTTGGGGTCGAGCAGAGTGCCCCACGCGCGCTTCTTCAGTACACAAGACCTTGGCCTTACATAAGAAACACAAGTCAACGTGCCAGAGTGGTTAATGGGCAGCCCTGCTAAGGCTGTGGCTTCGGTCGCGCAGGTTCGAATCCTGTCGTTGACGCTTAACTTTTTGCAATTTTTGCCTTCTACTCGCCTGTCTTTTAGACTCAGCGGCATGGCTTTTCAATTGCACCCTGCGACTGTACCCGATAATCGTAGTGGTTGTAGAGATACGATCCAACACGCCTCAGTAGACATGACCTCTACTGCAAACCTGACCGAACAACGATAGATCGGCGACTCAATGTGGTATGCAATTCGGAGCCAACAGTCTCTCCGACTCGACGTACAGTCTATCCGGCGACTAGAGAAATTCTGGCTGGATGCCGAGGCAAGCCTAAAGTGTGGAGCACTATCCTCGTCGTTCTACGCTGTAAAATGGCTGCCCGCTGCGTGCTGCGCATGCTGTGTTCCTGTGACAGGCGACGGTCCAAGTGCTTTTTGTTTTGGGAAACACCTGAAGGTGAGCTCGGTGGGGCCGGGCCCTTTACCTTCCGATGAGCTAGTGGCGTATATAATGAGGGACGAGACCTCGAAACTTTATCAGGTCGAATCGCTGCTGTTCAGGCTCATGTTGTGGTGTTGATCCAGACTCAGTGAACCGTTTAATTGAGATTTCATCAGTAAGAAAACAGACCATTCTGTCAATATGGCGGCAAGCGAACAGAAGCCCAAGGTGAAGCTCTACTGGTAAGTCGAGTCCAGGTCTCACTCAAGCTCTGTATTCCAAGCTCACCAATCCATCAGGCTGGAGCAGTCGAGAGCCCAGAACATCCTGTGGCTTCTCGAAGAGCTCAAGATTGACTACGAAATCGAAGTGTTCCACAGGAATAAGCAGACGCTCTTGGCGCCTCCCGAGCTGACGAAGGTCCACCCCCTGGGCAAGTCGCCCGTAATTGAGATTTTCCCGACCGGCTCTGGCGAGTCCATCAAGCTGGCCGAGAGCGGCTACATGACGCAGTACCTGTGCGAGCACTTTGGCCAGAACACCAACCTCATTCCCAAGAAGTGGAAGGACGGCCAGGAGGGCAAGATTGGCGGCGAGACTGAGGAGTACTCGAGGTGCCAGTACCTGCTCCACTACATTGAGGGCAGTCTGCTCCCGGTCCTCACTCTGTCTCTGGTCATAGGAGGTGAGTCTCACTTCGGTTCTTTAACGCAAACTACTCGCTCACACTCTGCAGCCCTGAAATCCGACAACGTGCCCTTCCTCGTCCGGCCCATCACCTCGGTGGTGGCGAACCGGATCTACAGCATGATGGTCTTCCCCAACGCCAAGAAGCACATGGCCATGATTGACCAGATGCTCGAGACGTCGCCCAACGGCGGCAAGTACATTTGCGGCGAGCACCTCTCGGCCGCCGACATCCTCCTCAGCTTCGCGCTCATCGCCGCGCAGCCCCGCTTCGACGGCCTGGGGAGCTGGCCCGGCGGCTCCGCCAAGGCGGCGCACCCCCGTGTGTTTGAGTACATTGAGAGACTCAAGAAGGAGCCCGGGTACGAGAGGTCGGCGCAGAAGATTCGCGAGATTGACGGCAAGTTCGAGGCCACAATCTCTAAGATGTAAAACGTGACGTTTGATGAATTGGGTTCGGGGGACTAGGAAGATATACCACTTTACTAAATTGACTTTGACTTGTATTGAAGCATCGTATCCAATTTGCGCATGACATACTACTGGGTACGTCTCATTAAATATGAATAAACATCTGATGTAACTCAACAGCGCCTCGCAAGGTTCATCATCACGGTTTCGTCCCAGAGCTCATATGTGGGAATGAGTGGCCCAAGCTTGTCTAATGGAGCGCTACCGCAGGGACCAACGGCAGGGGTTCCGGGCCGCTAAATCGGCGTGCGTTCCTCCCGCTGTCGGTAGCTTTTCCAGTGACGCCCCGACGTAGGCTTTTTTTTCTTTTCGCAACTTCACAGTCGCAAACCAATTCAACCCGCCAACGCACCCGAGGGCCAGACAAACGCCATGCTCGCCTCGAGGACGGTATGCGCTCAATGCCGTTCGAGGCTTCTGGCCGGCGCGGCGACAATCGGCGCGGTCCGATCGAACTCGACGACAAGCTTCCCGTCCGCCGCTGTGGACCAGCCATCCCGAACCCCAAAACCAAAAGCGCCACGACCACCCACGAGGAAGCCCAAGGGCGGCGGCAACGAGACTGCGAGACAGAGAGTGCTGGATCTGTTTGAAGAGACCGTCAGCAAGGAGCCCGCGCCGGCGACTCCGAGCCCCGGTCCAGGCGTCAACCAGCTCTACTCGCTTACCGACGAGCTCAGCCAACTGTTGCAGCAGAGACAGAAAGAAAAGATCTCCGACTTGGAGTTTGCGACACAGGCATACACATTCATAACCACAAAGCTTCTGGTAGCTGCGCAAAATTCGGGTGTCTATCTGCCCCAGGTTACCACAACCATAGCCAGCCAAGCAATACAACAAATCACAAAGATCAAGTTTGCGACGATAGAGGCCACAGACCTCCCCCAAACTGTAGACATATGCAAGTTGTATACTCATATAAATAACAAGAGGGTTGTGAAGCGACTGGAACTCATCAATGGCCTCTTGCGAGCCATCATCTCAACTCGAGCGGACCCGGAGAACCAGCCTGTGGAGGACCGGCTGCTGGAGGATCTGGTGGAATGCTGGAAACACTTTTCGGGCTTGAAGCGTGCAGACAGCGGCCTAGAATCGGATCCCGTGTTTTGGCTCACGTCACGGCGGGACTTGCTGGGGACCGAGAGACCCGACAAACTCCTCCGCGCTCTCTTTCCCTTCTTTGCAGCCAACGAAACGTCAGGCCTTGGACCAGCCCTTGTAGCCACATATGTATTGCTGTCTGAGTCCAAGCATATGATTACCAAGGCCAGGGTAGAGGCACACCCGCTGTTGGAAGCGCTGGACCGCATTGTCAAGCAATTCGATAAAGACATGTTGCAGGAGCTCTTCCGCGACCACGCTGAAGTCTGGAGTTATGTCCAACCCCGGGCGGATTGGAGGGTGACGCGCGTGGCTCCCGGAACGTGGAAAGAGCTGGATACCGTATCTACAGGCAAACCCGACCAAGCCAAGTCGGCGGTGCGATTCTCCTATGCCCTGTGGCACCGACGATTCGAGACCGTCTTTCGCGCAAACGACACTGCGGCCATCCAGCAGGCCTGGAGAGACCTGATCAACCCGGCCAACGACAAGGACAGAACTCTGAGACTACAGAGCTCTCCGGACCTTTTCGATTATATCCTGTTCCTCACGTGTAGCAAGTACGGGCTGGGGGCAAGCTTTTCCAAGCTGACGGAGGAGATATTGGCGTACATGAAGACGCTAGGCATGGCTCCGACAGTCAGGACGTACACGTCAATGATGAGTGGCTGGAAAGAGGCCAGACGGCTTGAGCCGATTGAGAACCTGTGGAAATTCATCACAAATGCAGGAGTCAAGCTGGACCAGCAGATCTGGTCGAGCAGAATCTCCGCACTCGGCCTTTTGGGCGGCGAACACGACGGTCTGGGTGCCCTCAAGGAGATGGATAGATTGTGGAACATGGCAGTGAAGAACGGCACGCAAGGCAAGGCCGTCGAACCGGGCATCTCAAACGTGAACTCGGCCATTTCCGGCTTGCTCCGGCGCGATAACATGGAGGTGATCCGCACCGTACTGGACTGGGCGACCGAAAAGGGCATCAAGCCCGACATTTACACCTACAACATGCTCCTATCACGCATGCTCAAAAAGGGGGCCCACGAGGAAGCGGACCGGATTCTCGCCAGCATGAAGACGGCGGGCATCACGCCGGACGGAGCCACCTTTACCGTCATTATGGAGGCGGCCCTCAGCGACCTGCCAGACCAGACGCCGCAGGAGCAGCGGGAGACGATGGACAGGGTGTTTTCCGAGATGGCCGCCTGCGGCATCGAGCCCAACCAGGAGTCCTTTGGCAAGATGCTCCACGTCCTCGTCCGGGCGGGTGACAGCGGCAAGCACGCCGTGGCCGCGCTGCTCTCCCACCTCCGGGTATCCCGCCTCCACCCGTCGACCGAGATGTGCACCATGCTCGTCGAGTACTACGTCAACCGGAGCCGGCCCGACCTCGACTCGCTGCGCGCCCTCGTCGCGGACCGCCGCGCGCGCACGCGGGCCCTGACGGACCGTGTATTCTGGGAGAGCGTCATCAAGAACTACCACCGCGCCGGGGACCTCGACAGCGCGCTCGAGGTCGTCTACGACCTTGATGATTGGGGTATCTGGCCCGGCTTGCCGCTGCTCGACCCCCTGCTGCGGTCGCTGGTTCACAGGCACGACTTTGAGGGGGCCAAGAAGCTGGTCGACACCGTTCGCAAGCAGGCCAGGCCTCAGGCCGCGGATAAGGCGGGTCGCTACTCGAAGCATGGGTTCTGGGCATTTGCTCATGATTACCGCCTGTTGCCTGGGCAGGAGGAGGCGTAGAGTAGATATGTAGAGTACCTAGCCGACTATTTATTGTACAAGTAGAAATCATAGATGTATAACAACTTGGAGATAACATTGCTCCTCAAGCCATGCGTCTGCGTGTCCAGCATGGCGTGCTCCTAGTTTTGTGGCGTGAGATAATCCTCTGGCGTATTACCGCCTGCTCGTCCTCATCGCAAACGAGAGGTGATAGAACTATGCATCTAGAAACCCGACCCCTTGAACGCCTGATTTGAGTGAGCCAATACATTCGGGGATTTGTTTGGAGGAACAAGCAGGCCAATGCGATACAATGGTAGTCATCGAATCACTGGGAGATCAGTCAAAGTAACGAGAAGAAAGCAAGATTGACAATAGCAGTCGATACTGGTCTAACGTCCCTGCGATGCGTGTTTCTCCAGCATACTAAATCATGCCGTACGTAGTCTACCTAGCAGCGCTCCGTCCATGGCACTTACACATTACTTACCAACGACACCCAGCACATACTTGATCCCCTCCCAATGCTCCTTCGCCGTAGGCAAAATAAACTCGGGCGCCAGAATGAAACCAGACCCTCCGCTCCCACCGCTCTTGGGCCGCAACTCGACGCTCCACGAATACGTCGCATTCAAAGCCCCATGGTGGAAATCCCTCGCGGATCCCGTAGAATAGTACAGAATCTCGCACGAAGGGCCGACCTCGTAAGTCTCCCCGCTCGTCGCCGCAATCGTCGCGGCGTACCCCGCGCCAACGTCCCGCTGCGCCTGGAGGTTCCGGGGAAGCACGTCGGGCTCGCAGGAGAAGCCCCAGGGGAGGAGGATCAGCTGCGAGTAGCTGTGCCAGTCGATGAAGAGTCTGATGCCGCCGCCTCCTGTAGAGTTAGTAGCAGCAGCGGCTAGCTTCCGCGAGAGGGCCGAGAGGGCGACGTTCTCGGGCGTGTCGCCCGGCGCGGCGCCGCGGAACGTCTCGCCGCACGGGTCGGCGGAGACGCTGCCGTCCTCGAGGGGGTAGTCCCACTGGAAATTCCAGTTGCGGTTGCCGTCGGTGCCGATGCAGGTCGTGTTGGAGCGCGGCTGGCGGTTCTTGCGCCAGAGGCGGTTTGTGGTCTGGCTGTACACGAAGCCTGTGTTTTGTAAGTGATTTGGATGGGGGTCTGTAGGACGACTTCTTAACTCACCGTCGGGGTTGTGAAAGGGCACAATGTAAAAGTCGTAGGCGTCGAAGAAGGCCGTGACGTTTTGGTCTCCAGACTTGTACCCGTCGATGAGTTGGTAGGTCAAGTACTCGACAGTCTGCTCGCGGGCATTAACAACTTCAGTGATAAAAGCGTCTGGGTCGGGCTCACATACCATTGTCGTAATCCACTCCCTGGCATGAACGGTGCTATGCCAGAGGACAACGGGCTTGGTCCCAGTGTCCTCGCCTCCCCAAAGCCGCAGCCCGAATATATTGCGGCCTTCATACGAGGCACCAATATCCAGCCACTCCGAGTTGTCGGGAAACGCAGCGTGGAGATCCCTCCAGTACTGTACGTGGTCATCGTACGCGTGGTACGAGTCGAACCAGCTCAGGTCCGGCGGCTCGCCCCTCTTGGTCAAGCCGGGCTTCTTTTCGGCCTCAGACTCAGCCCTGATCGCCCGCCCGAGGTCGTTGTCTAGACGCTGCGCATCGTCCAGCAGTCCCAGAGACTTGAGTAGTACAACCTCGCTGGGCGGGATCGCGACTTCGACGGAGCCCTGGAGGTCAATGGACGGGAACGAGCGCAGGCGGACGAGTTGGCCTGGTGGCGCATTGGTTGTTGGTACACGATATACCTGGTAGCCGTCGTAGTTGACCTTTTCGTCTTGGGGCGTCGTTATCTTACCGTTGCCGGCGAGGGCGATGGCCGGGGTGATGAACGCGAGTATAGCTGTGAACTTCATGATGACTTTGTATTGAACACAGTCACTTCGCCGACAATCGTCCGCTGTTCAGACGAGCACGAGCATACTGGCATCTGACGCTCTTATACTGACATCGTTGGCGGATCTGTACACGGTTTCGTTCTCCTTCCCTCGCCGTGCCAATCGCGCCAATTTCTCATATTGGCCCCGGCGAACCTAAAGGGCAAAAAGTGAGGGGTCGACTTTTGATAACTATGCAAGCCAAGACCGAGATGCTTGTATGACGCTCTCGAGTCTCGATGTTTCGCGGGCCAGCGTAGTATTTTCACAAACATCCTGTGAACCATTCCTTTCGGCGTGCTGAGGAGAGTCTAGCAAACTCAATTGCAACGTCATACGCGGGGATGCGAGGCTACACCCAGAACGGTAGGTGCTAGGCCTTGTTGTCTTGGCTTGCGAGGATAGCCGAGAGTCAAGTTGATAGACCTGGAAGGTCCGGGTTGTCCATTTTCACGAAGCCAGAGGAGTGAACAATGAAATGGATACAGCGGCTCTGGTACGGGATATTCGGACAGGTGCGTTATACTTGTGATGCAATGATCAGGGAACACACTTCACCCAGGTAGCGGTTACGCCATGTTGTGCCAGTAGCTGTAAGCCCGAGTGATTGGTTACTCGTGGGATTTCCATTCCACCATTTCATAAGTAACATCTCGAGGCCTGGCACTTTAGAGGACCATACCGACTGCGTGTGAGATCTTTGGGTAATGTAGGTACCTCACAGCGAAGACTCCGGCCCGGTGGAGCGCGGTGATGCCGCCGATGAACTGGCCCGGAAGTGGGTCCCGGGTCACCATGGGACCTTCTTGCCTTGAACATCCAAGTGGGCAATAGAATAGGACCAACACAGAGATGTCTCCCTTCTTAGAACTATTTGCCTTTTTATTTGTACCTTTACCGTACTTTTCAAAGCATGTTCCCTAGGCAAGAAAATTACAGAGTAGAAAGCAACGACAGTAAAGGTAGAAGTATCATAAACAAATGTGAGGTAATGAGCGGCGAGCTACTTAGTTCTGTGTCACCCACTTGGCATCGACACCAACCAAAGACTCGGATTGCCAGAGCATGCAGTCTTCGTAACCATCCATACCATTTCAACCCCTGCCTAGTTCGTATTTTTGATGCTTTGGACTATACCTGACACATGAATCCGGTTTCCTGGTCCCATCAGGGAGGTTCATCAAGTTCCTGTGCAATCCGAGAGCCTCAATTCCTGGTGATGAGCAAAGTTTTCTGGGTCGTATAGCGGTGCTCAAGGATACTGGCGTTCCAGCCGAGGGGGGCGATCTCGCTTTGAAAATTTCCCACGTATCCTTTCACCGAAATGTAACGCAGATATGCCATGCGTCCGGTCGCCAGCAGGTCGTGTATCTGAACGTACAAACGTTCCACCTCACTCGATGAGCAGCTCATCAGCTCTAATTTCTCCAACGAGCTCGGCAAGACATGGCTGAGGGTCAGCGCAGGCGCCTGCAGCTTCGTCCCATGCTCCTCCCCTTCCGGGCTATGTGTGTCGTCCACTTCTTGCCCAAGTAGCGCGTCAAGGGGCAAACGGAGCGTTTTCAGTCGCGTCAGTTCTTGCAGCGAACCGACATGTTCCTGTTGCAGTTCCTCGTCGGATCGATAGTAATCGCAATTGTAGTGAAATTCCTGAAGACAGTCCAGCTCGAGCTCTCGGAGGTTCTTGCCATATCGTCTCAGCGCCTCGCCAATTTCGTCGTAGTAGGGGAAGTCGTTCTCGGTAACGTGCTGGAGGTATTCATCTGCCCATTTTATGCTGAGAGTCTCAAGGTCGGGACAGCGACTGAGAAGATCACTCATGCCTGTTCCATTGCACAGCGAGTTTGCGAGGTGTACTGACTTCAACGACATGCGTTCCGCTGTTCGCCACTTGATATGCTGCAGCCACTCGACACGAATGCCGCGAAAAATCTGCACTGTCGGCGAGAGGAAGGGTTCGCACAGGCGGGCTGGCATCCCGATCTCACATCCTTCCCAATCAGCCTCAACACACTCGGCATAGACCTGTTGTAGACGAGGAAAAGGTCCAGGGCGGTCCACCTCGGCGATGAAAAACATCATCATCTCTGTGTTGAGTGCGAAATGCAAGACCTCGACCTCCGGAAGCAGCATGGCCAGAAGCAGCAGATAGATGCCTTCGAGATCAGCACCGCAAAGCTTGAGCCAGAACAGAGCCAGTCCGATGGCGCGTCTGAAAGGACTATGATCGGCTGAGTCTTGCCGCTCTTCTAGTCGCTTCCGAAGCCAGAAGCGAGTGAGGCCCGTCAGTCCATCACTGGAAATGTTGAGCTCCTTGACGTAGCTGCCCAGGTAGGGCTTGTGTTCAACAGCAACCACAAAAGCGCTGAGTTCATCGTCACCGAGAAAGATCGACTCGTAGAGAAAGGGTTCGACCACTTGCTGAAAACCCTTGGAGACGCGGCAAAGCTTGGACAAGGTGGCATAGTCTGGGCCGTTGGGGCGCTCGCGGGTCGATTTGGAACTGCGTAGGATTCCGATGATTGCGAGAACTTCGTCAGGCAGGTGAGGCGGCATCTTGGTCGTTGACGCCGAGGGAGGTACACAACTCGGAAGGGCCTGGGGCCTGAGTGGTGGTGACGAGTGATGCTGATGGGCGGTGGAAAAAAGTTTGAACGGGATTACGTCAAGGCAAGGTAGACTTCAAGTAGGCAGGTAGGCAAAGCTCTTTCCTAAAAGTCATGTATCAGTTTTCGTTCACCTCTTGCCTCGCTTGGATGATGCGACTTACCAACAGGCAGGAGCCCTGTTTTCACTTGGGGCCTCACTTCCTTTCTTGACCGAGCGTGTCCAATGGAAGGAAGGACCCTTGGTCTTGACGTAAAAATCTAGTTCTTGCCAACCAAAGGTGAAAAAGATAAATGCATTTTGTGTGTTCAGGTTGCAAGAATGGGCCTAGAGCCTGAGGTTTCTCTTCTCCTGGTTTGTCCTTCCTTCCTGCAATCCTTCTCGATTGAACCACGTCCTATTCCACGTATATTGAATCCAACAATTCGTGATGTCTCTGCCCATACCTCCAATGCTCTGATCCTCTACGATTCCTCCCCAGCAGAGACGTGTACCCCTGAAGTGATCTCGACACGAGCACTAGGGAAGCCTGCATCATCGAACCGTCTGTCGGCTGCTCTAGCCCAGCTCAAATCGGCAAGACACCGTGGCCTTGGTCCATGTGACTTCCTGTACCGTGTTGACGCCCCAACGTTGGCTGGATCCTAGATAGCTACTCTCCATCTCTTTGTGCTTGCCTTGGGGGAGCTACGAGCTTTGCCTGCGGTAGACACATCGGATTTACCCCTGCCATAGGAGTAGCAGGTGGCGCAACTGAATTTGCTGCCTTCCCTTAAGTCCTCAACGTCGATTGGGATCCGGCTGAGTGATAGCTGGGATGCTAGGTCGGGCGATTTGGCTCTTTCTCAGAGAGCCCATTCGCTCTCCCGTAGCGACTACGATAACGACGAAGCCGTTGAACGTACTCTGAGCAGCCAATATCTCGCGGCATGCCCTGTCGGTGGCGAGCTTGTGAGTTCATTTCAATCTTCTCAAAGAAGTTGACATCCGAAAGCTCACTTCATGACTCGTCCATTGCGTCGGGATCGGGCTGCTCAGTAGATTCACCGGAACCTCCCCCGAGCGCGGCAATCACTTGTTCGAGCCCCTCCACCTCGCCCATGGCAAACTTCCTGCCCTCACCCTGCCACTCGCCGTCGCGCACATCGCCATCCTTGCCGAGCTCCAGCCCACGCACATGCTCCAGATGCTTCCGCGTAGCCCCCTCGACATACTCCATCCTCTCTCGTCTCCAACTCTTTTGCTTCTCGGGGCCGTCCTCGGCGCTGGACGGGTCCTTGAGATCGGGCATGATATTACGCAGCGACGTCGATAACGCGCGCAGCGCCTGGAGTTGCGACATGTTGAAGGCGGTCGTGGTCGTTATAGGCGCTTTGAAGTCCCCGTCTGCCAAGTCGCCCTTCTCCTGCAGGAACTGGAACGGCGCCCTGTCATCGGACCCCTCGACCTTGACCTGCCCCACCAGCGAAGCCCTGGATCCGGCGGGCTTACCGCCAATGACCCCTCGCAGCTTCGCCAGCAGCGCCGCGTTCTTCGCCTGCTCGGCGTGCAGCATCACGTTCAGCCGCTGGCTGGCCTGTAGCTTCCTCCTCAGCGCATCGACGCTCTCCCTCGTCGGCGCGTCCTCGTGGGTGGCGTTGAAGTCGAGACCGTCGTAGTGGGCGAGGCGCATCCAGTTCCGCTGGCCCTGCTGGATGCTCAAGATGTTCTTCATGACATACAGCTCAAACTTGTCAAAATTCTTGTCAATCGCCGCGCACAGCAGCGTCTCCAGCTTATGGACGCCGTCGACGATCTCGAGCTTCGCGGTCTCCTCGACGTCGACAACCTCGTCCGCGGACCGCTTCTTCTGCTTCAGCGCCTTTTCGAACCCGAGCGCTTTCGGGGGCGCTTTTGAGAGACCCTGCTCGACGCGGTCGAGCGTCTTGTCGGCTACGGCGTTGACATTGTTGATGATGCTGTCCAGGAGCGACTAGGAGATGTTAGTCCTGAGGCGTCGCGTGATCTCTGTACCAAATGTAGACCTACAATTGGTGCATATCCCAGATGTTCTGTCAAAAGTTCGACGTCGATTATCGTGCGCTGCGCCATCGTGTTCAATCGGCTGATGGGCTTGTCTGGGGAGGTTCGTGGTTGAGTGGGCGGACAAAGTGCCGTCTCCAAAGACGCGACGGACGCGACGAAAGTCAATATTTGGTAAGGCACATTGACCGAGGGGTCTATTCCCCCGAGAGGGGGGGCCCGGGGGGATGAAGGCCTGAATCGCAAAGCGTCCAACAGGGGGGCACCCTCCCCCGAATTTCCAGTCCAGCGGCCCAGCACGGCGACACCCGTAATCTTAGCGATTTCGATGGCGGGTAACACTGCCACGCACCTCGGGCGACGTCACGCAGGAAACCAGGATGGAGCGCTGACAGAGATCCACCGCTGGAGACGACGCAATGCGAGCCTCCACCGGTGCTTTTACATTAATTGCACAACCTGTCGTCGACAAAATCTCCCCTTTCCACACGCCAAGGGCACGAGTCAACAGCAACACTTCCTTCCTCCTTTTCCCTTTGTTCGACCCAGGCCTCCGCAACAATGTCGTCGAACTTTGGAAATTTCATGAAGAATGGCTGGCACCCCGAGAAGCCGGGCACCAACTTCAAGGGCCAAATGGTATGTCACCGGGCGTGGTGCGTCTCTGCAGCTGCAAAGGGGAAACTGACCAGACACACGACAGAACGGCCTCTTGGGAAGAAAAACGGATAGCGACAAAGAGGAGCGCGTCGCCAGACCCCTAACGTCCCTCACAGATCCCTCAACCTTTGCACCGCCGCCAAAGCGTGTCCCGGGGACAATTGCACCCCCGCCCCCGCCATCACGTTCCAACGCAACATCACCTGGCGTACCACCGCCGCCGTACGACGACTCGAACCGATATCAGCAGCAACAAGAGGAAGGCGTAGAGGAAGAACCGGCGCCGCCCAGGCCGTGGCGCACAGATAACACAGGCCTCTCGACTGCCCATCTGCCGCCCCCGCCGGGAAGAAAGGATGGCGCCGACGGACGGACGCCGGTGCCGGGTCAAGCCGCCGCCGCACGGCCGCCGCCCCCAAGCTTACCACCGAGACTACCGCCCAGGACACCCTCCGCTTCGTCGGTAGCAAGACCGGCGTCACCCGCACCACCGCCGGCATCAAGCAGCGGCGGCGGATACCTGAACCAGAACGCAATGAACAGACTAGGAGCAGCAGGCGTCTCCGTATCCGCACTAGGCATCGGAAAGTCCGCCCCCGAACCACCGACCCGATCCAACGCAAGCAGCCCCGCGCCACCTCCCCGGACCGGAGCCTTCTCACCGCCGCCGCCTCCGCCTACCAGCAGCAGCAGCAGCGGAGGCGGTGGCCACATGAGCGAGTTGCAAAACAGATTCGCCAAGCTGGGCAAGTCCGCCGCCGCCAACCACCAGTCCTCCACCCCGCCGCCGACAGAGGGCACCACGACGAAGCAGAAGCAAGCCGCGCTACGCACCGCATCCGACTTCCACAAGAACCCGTCTTCCGTCTCCGTCTCCGACGCCCGGTCCGCCGCGTCAACCTTCAACAACTTTCGCCAGCGGCACGGCGAGCAGGTCAAGTCCGGGGTCCAGAGCGCCAACAACTTCAACCAGAAATACGGCATCACGGAAAAGGCTGGAAACTATGCCGGAAAGGCAAAGAGCTTCTACAACGACCAGGTAGGGCAAAAGCAGGCCGCGACTACCGCGGACACTACTACTACTACTACAACTGCGCCCGCGGCTGCGGCACCGAGCCCGCTGTCGCCTCCGCCTGGGCTGGTGAACGCGATCGGGAAGAAGAAGCCGCCTCCACCGCCGCCCCCAAAGAAGAAGCCTCAGCTGGCTGGAGCACCAGCGCCGCCGCCGGTGCCTTCGCCTCGAGCACCCGGGCCTGGCGACGACGATGAGGCACCTCCTCCGATTCCCTTGGCAACAAAGCCGACGTTCTGAGCTCAGCTGGGTTTGTGAGGCGGTGGTGGCTGGTGGACATCACGTACGATGTGAGGCGGGGCTGGTGCATTATTACGTTTTTACTCTGCTGCCGGCCAATGCATTCTGTGGCGTTTTGTTAATGGTCAGGCTACCTTCATCTTGCGGGGTAGCATTGAAAAGGGAAACCGAACCACTTTGTTGTGGGATTTTGGAAGCAGAGCATTGTAATTCACTTTTCAAGTATAGAATGAAGCTCGTCGAGCAAATGTGTATAAAAAAAGGTTGTTTCGTTCATATGGGTCATAAGCACGGCCGACGCCTGGTGTGCACTTTTTATTTTTTTGCTTGCTACGGGGGCTTTTGGAAGGGATATATGCCAAAGCAGATGGGTGGTACGCTATAGCAAAGGTGTTTTTGTAAGACGTCAAATTCTTCGGTCCCAAAAAAAAAAACACCGATAAAATCTCGAGTAAAAAAAAGACAGGGAAAGAACTGATTCCGTGTCGAGATTTAAACCTTCATGCTCTCGAGGCCGTGCTGCCAGACGATGATGTAGGGGGTGACACCATCCTCGCGGTAGTTGAGGAGGATGACCCTGTCGACAGGTTAGCGACGGTTGGGCGATAGTCATTGAGGGGATTGGGATTTTGCTTACATTCCATCGGGGTTCATCGACTCGCCAGTGTAGAACTCGTAGTCCTTGAAGTTGGGAAGGAGGGTCTCCTTGACGTACTTCTGGGCACCCTTCTCGAAGGCGGTGATCTTCTCGGCGGGGGCGTTCTTCTCCTGAAGGGCAGTCTTGACGGCCTTCATGTAGCCTGTTTTGCGGAAGCTTGTCAGTTACTTTTTTCCAAGCATTTGGAGCGAGCTTCGTTGGGAAGTCTGCCTTGTACTGACCCTTGAGGTAGGCGAGGAAGCTCTTCTTGTCGAACTGGGTGGACTGGAAGCGGAAAGAGTGGACAATGTTGTTGACCTTGATCTCGGCGTCCTCAGCACCCTCCTCAGCCTCCTCGGCGGAGGCGTTGGCGCCGGTGTCTGTGTGAATGTCACTCGTCAGAAAATGTTTTGTTCCTTGATTGTATCGATGGGTTTGGGAAGCGCGCGGGGTAAGCGCCCAGCGGCGGTGTGTGTGTGGTGGCGGGTGGGTGGTTCACGAACCGACGTTGACGGCGCCCTCGGTGATCATGGCGCAGTCGGCCTCGAAGACAATGCCATCGACGTCCTTGAGGTCGTAGGAGTCCGAGATGATCTCGTCTCCGGTAAGAATGTCCTGTGTTGCGGTTGTTCGGTCAGCACTCAAGAGTGTTCCGTATCTCAAAACAACATTTTTTTCTCAACCCCCGCCGTCCAATGGCGGGGGATTTCCGAAGGAGGGGTAAAAAAACAGCTTTGCCCAATGGCACAAGCCGTTCTACTTCTCGATGGAGATTGCAGTTTCGCGATAGCAAGAAAGACGTACCTTGTAGATAATCATCTTGGCGGTTTGTCTGAGGTGTCGAGGAGGTGAGGTATTGGCGAGACGGCAAGTTCGTTGTCTGGGTCTGGAGAAGTAGGAGGAACGAGCAGAAAGGAGGGGGGTCGCTTTTGAAGGGCGAAAAGTGTTCGCAAATTTGGCAAGTGGGAGGGACTGTGTTTGGTGGGGTTTTCTGAGCTAGTCTTTATTCGGACTGGCGGCAAAAAAAAGCCAGGCGGGTTCCTGTATCCGTACTCATTGGCTGTTAGTGCTCGAGCTGGTGGTCTGCGCCAGATCACTAACAACGTGGCGGGCTGCCCGAAAGGCGAGAACACTGAAGGTGCGGGACGTGGGACCAGAGCCTGAAGGAGGTATCAACCCGATGAGACTCGACTTTCAAGGTCTCCTACGACAGTACCTTGCTGACTGTTTGCCTTTCTTATCTTATCACTGAAGTAATTGTATAGAGGAACAATTCATTGACCATGGTTCAAATGCACAGAGCATCGTTGGCGCCTGTGGCATTTTTCTCAGCCAAGACTGACTGGTCTGGAGCATGTGGTGTTGATTTTGGCGAGGTAGTCTAGGCGTCTTACCTAAGCCGTAGATCTGAGCTCGAGCCCTCGGCGCCGCTACCGGGCTTTTATGATACCCACCATGGGTCGTGGCTTAACGGGATTGAAGCTGGGATAGCCTCAATTACGTTCTGCAGCTGGTCGAGAGCGGTGAGCCCAGCCCAAGGCTCCCATCAAACAGTTCTTCCGGGTCACATGAACACTCCTGACGTGTAACATCGTCTGGTGTTTTGTAAAGAGCCCGACACATGGGGTTGGGAGTGGGATGGCATTCATGATCAAGGACCGCCCTTGAGATAAAACATTGATTTTGATCCTCCTTTGTCAGCATCCCTCGTCACTTTCATCATCCTCTCATTCTTCAGTCGTCCTTCTTGTTGTTTGGTCTCACTGATAGGTTTCCTGAAATGTCGCTGGATCATCTGAAAAGGGGCGCTTATTCGAGTCCAGAGTGGGCGCATCATGCTTGTGAAATTGCCTTACGGTTTACCTAAGCCCCCCCTCTTGGAGACAACACCATTCGGCGCTTGGCACTCGATCGCATCGCAGTAACACGGGCTTACTTAAGCTACCGAAGCGTCCGCGTATTTACGGCATCGACAGGGGAGGGCCCGGTGGCCTGACACGGCAGCGTAGCAAGCCGCACATGGTTAAAGAGGTGATGACAGCATGGGCAAGCCTGTAGAGCCCGCCGCAATCTACGCGAGCAAACTCGTGACGGGCACTCGATACAAGTCCGTCCGTGATGAAAGTTATTGAAAGAAGAGTTGCTTGAAGAGAGTATGCGTTGACGTGTTGTTGACGTGTTGTTGACGGTTCACTCACCGGATACCGCAGCCATGGATTTTGACTACTTCCACAATAGAGGTCAGGTACGATTGACCATGTCGAAAGGCTGGGGAGACAAGTGAATAGTTGTGGTTCGATCTGTGGCAAAAGCCGGGAGACGGTCGAAAGGCGAGAGGCCCGCGCCTTTTCACAAGCGAGATTGATAAAAGCGCATCATTCCTGGGCCTGGGAACCCGGCGCGGCGACACCTGCGTACGGATACCTATGAGAGAGATGGACCTATTACTGCGTACTCCGTAGAGGGAGAAAAAATTGTCCCGACGTCGCCGCTAATCAGACTCAACGATCCGTACAATCCACAGAGCAAGGTACCCAGATAAACTCCATTTGTACCTACTATCAGGCGCATCCAAGCACCGCATGCACCGGGCGCGCAAGTCACTCTGGTCAGCGTAATACATGCAACATTTTGGGCGCATTGCGAACAAGGGCCAATGCTAGTCCAAGCTAGTGAAACCTCGAACCAACTCGCCACCAGTCTCCCGACGTCCATCCTCACTACCACACTCACTACCTTACCTTACTGTACTACCTACGTGACTACTAATTACAACTCGCCTGCTGCTGCTCTGCTCCGTCTCAGCCCTGTGCTTCGCTCTCTGCTTTGACATCCTCCACCCAACCACCATCCCTCCCACCTGGCACTGGCACCCCCAAGGATTGGCATCTCATATATCCAACTTCCGTCCGCTCCTTACAAACCGCCTCACCCGCCACACGAACCCGTCATTCCCTTTTTTCTTCTTTCAATCTTCCTCCCTCCGATTCTTCGCCTTGAGACGCACACGAGCATACAATTCAATACACCTTTGACCGACGCAATCCCTAATCCCACCACATCCGAACCGACCGAGCAAACGAGAGAGAGACCGCCGAACCCGAAAACCCGCCATGGTAAACGAAACCATCCCACCCACGATGGTGGCAAACTTCACGTCAACCGTCGGCGACCTCCCGCCCCTCCCGGAATACACCCTCAAGCCCTACGCCGACCTCATTCCCGGCCTGCCCGACGTCTACCTGCGCATCTTCCTCCCCATCGTCGTCTACTGGATTCTGTCGCTCTTCTTCCACGTCATTGACGTCTACGACGTCTGGCCGCAGTACCGCCTGCACACTCCCGAGGAGATCACCAAGCGCAACCACGTTTCCCGCTACGAGGTCGCCCGCGACGTCCTCCTCCAGCAGCTCATTCAGGTCGGCATGTCCGTCTTCCTCGAGTACATTGACGAGGAGCAATTCACCGGCCAGGAGAACTATGACGTCGCCGTCTGGGCCACCCGCGTCCGCGTTGCTCAGCGCGCCCTGCCCACCATCCTCGGCCTGCTCGGCCTCAACGCCGCTTCTCTCGCAAAGAACATGTCCGCCACGCACCCCTTCATCGCCGGTGCGCTTGCCGGCGGCCACTACCCCTTCCTCACCACCGAGCTCGACGGGTCGCACGCCGTCCCCGTCTTCGCCACCTGGGAGCTGCTCGTCGCAAAGGCAATCTACTGGCTCGCCATTCCCGGATTCCAGCTCTTCGCCGCCATCTCTATCCTGGACACATGGCAGTACTTCCTCCACCGCCTCATGCACGTAAACAAGTGGATGTACAGTAAGTGACAGCCCAATTCCCCAGACCCTCTCGGGACTCCGACTCGGCCGAATGGCCTCCGGGGGTAGTTTCGGCGCAAAGTGGCAAACAGCTCAACTAACAGAACATCTCTCCCAGCGACCTTCCACTCGAGACACCACCGTCTCTACGTCCCCTACGCCTATGGCGCCCTCTACAACCATCCGTTCGAGGGCTTCCTCCTCGACACCCTCGGCGCGGGCATCGGCTTTCTCCTCACCGGCATGAGCGCGAGGCAGGGACTGCTGTTCTTCTGCCTGTCCACCGTCAAGACCGTCGACGACCACTGCGGCTACTCGCTGCCCTGGGACCCCCTCCAGCACATCACGAGCAACAACGCCGCCTACCACGATATCCACCACCAGACGTGGGGCATCAAGACCAACTTCTCCCAGCCCTTCTTCATCTTCTGGGACCGCGCCCTCGATACGCGGTACAAGGGCGACAGGCAAAACCGGTTGCTGGCGTCAAAGGGCAAGGGAGCCGCGGTGGCGGCCAAGTCCGAATAAGGTCCTTGAGGACTTCGGCGATACTGTCACAACAACAAAACACATATAATACAACTTACTCCTTTTTTTTCAATTCTGTAAAACAACCCAACTTGCCCCGATACCAAACACCAAACGATCAAATCAGAAAAAGAAAAAAGTCGAGACCGGTTTCTGGATTCGCACATACAAAACGCGGTGGGGAGGAGCCTGGTTCTCGCAAGCAACAACACACACACAAACCACCACTTATACAATTAATTACAACTAGGGAAAGCATTGGGAATGAGGCGTTTTCAAATCATGTCGAAACAATGGCACACGTTCGATTAAAGGGGAGAGGGAAGGGAGGAGCAGGTCGCTCTTTTTTTCCATTGTCATTGTTTCAAGTATTGTGACCAACGAAGAGAAAGACTGGCCTGGGAATTTGTATTTTTTTTATCTTGTCCCTTCCAGGCTGTACACACACTCGCAAGCATGCGAGTTTTGCCTTTGCACCCCCCCCCCCCCCCCCTTTTTATTTTTTATCACCCTGGGCCGCCGGACATCCTTTGAGATGTTGGTGTGAATGCCCCTCGCTCTTTTCATTCTAGCGGATACATGGAAGACCGATTTGGAGAAGGAAGAGGCAGAAGAGCAGGATGAACATGAGGAAGAGCAGGAGGATGCGGGAGGAGGGAGGAAGAGGGAATGAAGGGGGGAAAAAAACACAAGATAACCCGCTTACAACTACATTGACTAATGGAAAGATTATAATAAATCTTATATTCGGTCCTGCCGTAGACAGTGACCTCCCTGTGAGATTTTGACGGATTCATCTTCAAGGTGTGTACCAGCAGGCTATGTATGTTCTACGTCGATTGTATTTGGCCTCGGAAGAGAGAGATAGGACCAAGCCGCAGAACGGTTCTGCGGTTTACGTGTTGCTGCGATGATCCCCCATCCTTCTCCCGTTCTATTCTCAACATGCAAGTCCCAGCACCGCTTCTATAATTATCGACGTGCGCCTCAAACGCAGATGCAGACAGACGTCGGGACCTCATGTAAGTATGTACAGGTAGGCAGATATGCAGAAACTATTTGACATTTCGTACATATTCCATATAACCCGCAGGCAGCAGCCGTGGCAGCAGTAGCATGCAGTCACAGAGAAGGGGCAATGAGCAAGGACAACGATAGTATCGTCGTTCGTCGGAGTTGGAGAATATGTAACTTCCGAAGGGGGGCGGTTCTCCGTCGTCCGAACGCTTGGGGCTTTTTTCTGTCTCTGTCTGTCTGACCTATTTACACTACCTTGGCTATTTGCCTATGTGCTTGTTGTCTCTGCTGCTGCTGCTGCCGCCATCACCACTTGACCGCTGATTTGACGGGAGCTGTTGCGTACGGAGCGTGCTGCGTGCAGGCCAGGTCCGTTGATTGATGATTCACAACCCATGGCACGAATACTCAACCTCATGCGTATTCCCACGAACGAAGACCCCAAACCGTCATAGGTCCCAAGATTCCAATAATTCCTCCAAGGAAGCAGCGGCCGTCGAATGATGGTCGAACGGTATGATTGTGCCTTTAACGCTCTACCCTTGGAGCGTCAGTCAGATGGGCAGCCTTCTTGGGTGGTGAGCAATCTAACCAGCCGGTCAGAACCGCTAGCTAGCTAGTAGCTTCCCCTTTTTGTGGCTTTTTGTTTGCCAGAAATCTTGGTGACGGAGCGATGCAGCTCCTGTGGGATTGGTACCTGCCTCACTCACTCACCTCACTCACTCACACCTATCTATCATCACCAGGCTGCCTGGGTGGGCCTCGAGTTTGAGAGGTCGCGGGTTCGAGTCGACCTTCTTAGCAACTTTTTTCTCACCATTTCTCAAAGTTGATTGATTGGGCTTCCTTCTGAGGATAATGTTCATTCAGTATCTTTAAAGACTGCGTCAAAGCACAATGGCTCCGCTCAGCTGCGAATGCTCATTGTCCCAAGTCTACCCATGTATGTATGTAAAGAGCAGTCCCCGCGCCACGTCTGGAATGGGATCATCCGACAATCTGTTTCCTCCTAGTTCCCTGAAAGGATTCTTCCCGTTCATGCAATGATGTTTGGAAAGAAAAACAAAACATACCTACAAAAACGGAATGCAGCCAACGTGCACATGCGCACATTGAAACGGGCGGCGAACTGGACACAACTGGCCGTGCCACGAAACAAGGCATAGGAGGCACCCGGGGCGGCGATCTGCCACTCTGCACTCGAGCCTGCGCGCGTTTGGGAAAAGCCAGTCTTTTTGTCATGATCACAACGGCCTCCGTGCTTTCCAGAGAGAATCCCGAAGAATGGCGAGCGGAGGCCCCCATTGGGCTCATTCGTGACGAGGCAAGGTCGATCGAGCCTCTGATAGTTGATTGATTTGACACTTGACAAGTTCGGGGACGCGGAGTTCGAACGGGGTAAGAATCTCGGGGAGTCGGCGCCACAGGCTGGATGGACGTCGTGGGGAATAATGCTGATCTTCCAGGTTGGTGTCACTCATCCTCGCCGCGAGTGAGACGACGACAGCTGTAGTCGGGATCCTCTGCCTGTGGTAACTTCTTATCGAGCACAGGACAACACATGGCGCCAATTATCACTGCAAGTGATATTGTCCGGTAACATGCCATTGGGTCTCTAGCTACGAGGTTGTACACCATGGCGCTTCTTCGAGCCACAATTGGAAGTTCGAATTGGAGCACTAGGGGTCGGGAAGTTTGAGTTAACTGCGTCCCACTCCTGAAAACCAACGGCCACAGCATTGCTCCGGCGTTGCTTTTCTTGAGACATCCCACCGCAGTGTGGACAACCTCGTGATATTTGATGTCTTACACACACACTGGATCAGGAGAACCAGGAGATTGGGTGTGAACAGGGGTTCATTCCACTCTGGCATTGGGTTGGACCCTTAACGGCTGTTGGCTTCCAGACGTTACCTCGAGGGAGCACGACAGCCAATGAACTGTTCGGCACCCGACGGCCCCCGGAGTTCTTAGTTTTCTGACTGCGACGCTGTGCCTCAGCCAGGACCTATGTGGCAAGCTTCCTCAAACATGACAGTTCGTTTGAGTCGGGGAGAGCTTAGACAATCAGCGAGTGATGGGTCTGGAGAAGTCGAATGCAGTACAGATGAACTGAGGACGGCCACAAACATGTTTCCTGCGACGTGGATAGATTGGATCCGAGTCGTGAAGAAAATACTAAAGCCCCAGGCTGTGGCTGCGCGTACAGTCGGCTTCTACCGCCTTGTTTGAGAATTGCAAAACAAAGGTAGCTGTCGAGTCAAGTTGAGACGAGTATGGAGTCGGCCGTAACCGTTAAGCTAGGACCATTGAAACCTTGCAGTCTCTGCAGAGCGCGGAACCGAGGGGAGGAGATGCAGTCTGCTGGCCGAGTGTGCTATTTATTCCCTAACACCGATTACGAAGTCGTCGCTCAGTTCGAGATTAGAGTTATTGGGCAACCACAATTGTTTGAGGCAACGCCGATTTTGTACGGGACAGTCGGCGGCGGTCTGGGTGTCGCTCATCACAAGGTCTCGACTCGGCGCCGCGTCGCATGAAGAAAGCATACGAGCGTAAGTCGTGGTGGGTAGCCATACCCAATCAAGCCTTTAACGCCAGCTCGGAAATATCGAAGTTGCCAAAGAACCTCTTTGCAAAGTGTACAACTCCAAGACGCAAACAGGCAGATTGTGCGGCAACGCAGGCATCCGGGACGTGAGATTTAGGTGGCCAAGTCATTCCGCTCTATGTTGAAAGAGCTGCTACCGCCCCGTGTGATGCAACCATTGCATTTGCTGTCGTCCTCTGCCCGCCAACGGGCAAATGCGCCATTCGTGTATGACCAAAGTCTCCCGTTCCACCGGTACCAAAGGCGACGCTAGATCTGTGGCAGAAGGCATCTAACGTGAAGCTATGCAATGTCAACGCTGTGGAGAGACGAGGTAGCGTTCGCCTTTGCAGGTCTGCTACCGGCCGTGAGAAAGAGCTGCACAACACCACAAAGGAAGAAATGCAGGGCTCAGCATCTAGTTCCTTGCGCTAGTGCACTCCGGTGGCTGCAGCTACCACCCCACAGCGGAGACATATCGCGTTCAATGGCTTGAACGCCTGTCAAGATCCGGTCTGTAGTATCGTCGGTGGTGGAGTGGGTAGTGATGTTCCGTCGACGGACTCCAGTTCGGCGCAGGTCCGATCTGGATTGGCGGGTTCCCGATTCATCTCGATGGTCGAGAACTGATGGCCATGCCCGTTGACCTAGCCTGAGTGTATTCAGTTGCGACGGAAGCGACTAAGGCCGGGAACGCCAACAAGCTATTGGCACCAAGCCGCAGGATGCTACCTGTAAGCCGGTCATCTGTGAGAGAGTGAGACATTGGCGGTCAAAGGCAGCTGGACTCGGATGGGAATGGCAATTCCAACGAAACCAGTCGGCCGTGAATTGCAAATCGTGACGGACGGTAATCGAGGTATGACGCCGAATGGGACCCTGCATCGGGGCAACGGACAATGCGATTGTCCTGGGTTGCTGCGTTGCTGCGTTGCTATGTGTCCGGGTTGAGGTGGTATTGGGCCCTTGGGATCATGCCTAGACTGGTGTCAACTTGGATCATGTTAATCAGGTGCTGGTTAGCTGGGGCAGCCACGTCGGCGATACCACAAGAGAGACGGCCTGACAATGAGGCCCGGGAGACGATTGAATGACAGGCACGTCACTTGGGAGAGTTGTTGTGGTCGTGGCATCATGTGAGGCTTGCTTTTCATGCTGAAAAATGCAGTACGGATGTCGCGGAGATTCCACGACGGCGTGCTGTGTTTGTACGGAGTATCGTGTGGTGTGCTGTGGAGTGAGGTCACTTATGAAGTAGCAGTGTAGGAGTGGGCTTCGTCCAATGTAAGTGAGAGGTACATCTGGGGTCGGGAAGCCTTGGCAACGAAACCAGGTATTGCCTGGGGTACATGCGGATACAGCCAATTTGATCGATCGAGATCTGCGTGCCGTGGCTGCTGACGAATGTGTAGTGTTCGATCGCCCGCGGCACTCCTCCCTGCACCATCTTTTGGTATGGAATCTGTGCTTCCAGTACGGAATATAACATATATCAAATCGGATAACGGCAGGTTGCGACGGGCGACGAACAAGGAGGGCGCGGTCTTGGGCTCCTGCGTCAAGAGGCCGACGGAGGTCGGCGTTGGGCTCCCTCGCCGTCCACGGTACCGGGAGACCGAGACTGATTGGCCCCCGGGCTGTCACGGTTCACCCGTTGAGCGTTGTCGTGGAAGGAGAGGACTGAGTGACTGGCCAGTAGGTTCCTTGTAACGAGTGGTATGGTCGGGAATAGACACGGGGGATTTGGGAGGAAGGAATACACGAAACACAAACCCAAACTGGCATCACCACGGTCGTGCCGTACCTGCCTTCTCTCTTGTAGAGAAGAGGTGGAAGGAAGGTGTGCCCACCTACCCACCTACTTCCTGTACGGATACGTAGGAAGCTGCTTACCGACTTTTACAGGATGACTGACGCTCCGCGATGGTTCTTTCTCAAAGGGGAAGACGAATGCGCCAGCTGCGACAAGAACGGATGACCATGTTCTTTCCGTCTTTCCGTCTGCTTGTCACGGTCGACATTTCGAGGCAAGAAAGGCGCACGCAAGGTGCTTCGCTCTGACGGTCTCCTGGCTGCATCCTGCAGGTACAGAACGGTGTCGCACGCACGCGCATAATTTTACGCAGTATTCATACAGGTAGGTACACAGAGCTCTCTCTTCTCTGACCTTGAGCCGTCAGCCGTCTCGAATGCAAATGGCTTGGCCATCTTTCGGCCGCCTCAAGTCTGAAGGCTCAACTTCACCTTGTCACCTTGCGCCGCAAATAGAGAGATACCAAAATACCCAAACCAACACCTGGCTACGCCACGAACCAACAGCCAACCGCCGTCTTTCTCTGCTTGCGGTTCTGAGACGGACCCAACGTCACCTTGATCAAATCGGCCTTCAGGGCTCCAGGGCTCCAGTCCAAAGTCACCTTCAAGGTTATTTCCTCGCAGCTTTGCAGCCAATCCCCACTGCACGGTACCTTACAATAACGGACCTTAATTAAAGAACACCGTCCAATAGATCCTCCCGCACGGCAACATCCCCCTGCTCCTGCACCCGGCACTCAACCTCGAACAAGGAGTCAAGCTCAACCCACATGGCCTGTCGAGCCTTTGCTAGCCCTGGACACAGTAGCGCGCTGCATGAACTGTTACTGCGCATCAGTCTGCTCTACGGATACTCAGTCGCCTTCGCCATTCAGGCCTCGGGCTTTTCAGCAGCCTCTACCACACTACCAACTGCGTCAGGAAAGGCCCGTTGACTTCTGTACCAAGTTTGAAAGCCACGATTTTGCTGGCTGCGTCGCCCAACGCCGCTGTCGCCGCCCCATCTCTTCCCAATCTGGTCCAACTACCTTCACCATCGACGCCTCCTCCGACCGGGGTCTTGCGCGGGTCTCACGGAATTACCAGAGGCAGAAGGGGGCTTGCGGGCGCTCAAAGCGTCGCCAGATCGAGAAGAAGGACCATTCGGTAATCCACACGAGTCCACCACGCTTCTCCTTCAGCTCTTGTCTTTCGCTAGTGCCCGTCGAGGGGCCCTTCAAATAGACTGGGAGACCCTGGCTTGCCCGTCACTCTTCCACTGGTCAAACCGGCCTGCTGAGGATCTCTGCTACGACCGTCTAATTATTCTCTCACCCGCGCTACTGCTTCAGCTTACAAAATCCTGGGTCCAACTCCGTCCAAGGCTCGTGAGACGTGCCCCCGTTTCCGTCCGAGGTTCATATTTATTACAGAGCAACCTCGAAAGAAACTTCCTCGACAACTATCCCGTACCTGTCCGTACTCCGTACACCGTACTCCGTCCTCCCACAAACCGGTCCCCCAAAGGCTCCAAACCCAAACCACCAACCTACTCGAGACGGGGTACCTGACGACCATCTCAACCTCTAACACCCCATCTGGACATTTACAATTCCTCCGTTACCTCGCCTGTTTCCAAACCTAGAAACCGTACCTGCTTTGCCGTCTTTGCTCTGCATGCCCAGGTCCCGTCCGCTTGTTTCTCTAAGCGCTCGCCAGTCAGCGATCGACTTCACCCTTCCAGATCACCAACACGGCGCTTCCTCGCGCATCCGGTCCCCTCCATTGGCCGCCCACCCTGTCCCTCAATTTCAAATCTGACTCGCCTGTCCTCAACCCGGTGCTGCTCTGCGTCTATCCAGACAGAATGGGACTGCTCCTGGCGTTTCATTGATATCGAATTAGACTGTGGTATCCCAACCAACGCGGGCCAAGTCGACTTACACCACGCCGGCCGGGCCAACGTGCAGCTCCAAGCCTCCCCAGCTTTACCCGTACCAACATACGCGGCGCAGCGGGACAAACATTCCATCAATTGAGACTTACACCCCGCGACCCTATTTGACTCGGGCTTTCGCCTTTTTTCTAGCTTCCCATCATGGACCCTACAACGACGCTCTTTACGTTCATGCTGTGAGTGGTTTTTTATCTTAATTCTTTGGAACCAATTTGGTCTGCTCGTTCTGGTCGCTTTCGTTTTCTTCTCCCGTTCGCTGGTCGAAACTTTGGCGTCGCTTTCGCTCCAAGCTCGTAAGATCGATCGTCCTCTCGTTCGAACTCGCATAATTTGTATGTCTGGCCAATAGCCTTGATCCCCTCGTCCCATCACGCCTTATACATGACTCCTGCACAAATCCAAGAACGGCCGAGTGAAGCACAAGGCCTGCGAAAGTTCGCTGCCTCTCCTCGTTTAGCATTCACACACATCTCTTCGGCTTCCCCAAAGGGTCGGGGAAAGCAGTCGGGGACCGGCGCCGAAGGTTGTTTGCTTCTGCTTAACCGTGTGCTTGGGCTCATGCTTCGAACATTGTCGGATGGAAAAGTTTATATCGGGTTATGCTATGCCCTACCTCCCCGGCCCTGGCCTGCGCCCGTTCCTCCCCTCACACCTTTTCACCTGCCATTACCAGCTTCTCAGCGGCAACCTTCCGAGAACTCCGTCAAACATCTTGCAAAGCCAAAAAGCGTCGCCGACGGAGATCGGCACCTCTTCCGCTCCTGGGAGAAGACAGGGGGACCAGGTCTGATGCTCGGCGCAAGCCCAGTGGCTGGTGTCTTGGCTTCGCATCATACGCTTCACACCTTTTCACTTGCTCTTGATATATAGTACCAGAAGAAGCCCCTCCTTTCACTTTGCTGACCATCACGACTATGTAGTCAGACTCACCCGACTGTAAGATCAGTACACTTGGTCGGCTCCTGGGACAACTTCACCAAACCATACATCATGGAACGAGATATCCGACGAGATCGCGGCCAATGGCGCGGATGCCACACCTTCAAGGACATTGTTCTCGACGACGACTTGGGTGCGAGGGATACGAAGCGCAACGGCGGCCTGAAGATGGGAAACACTTACTACTACTATGTAGGTTATTTGGCGACGCTAGGGCGATCTGGGCACTAACACGTCTCAGTACGAGATTGATGGAACGCAAGAGTCGCACAACCCGGCACTGCCTACCACTACCAACTGTCCTTACCTTCCTGGACAGACTGTCAACACTCTGGATGTCCCTACCGAGGTGGCCGAGCGGAAGAGAAGCGCATCCTTGGGCTCGCTCCGCCCTGGTGAACAGAAGACCATGAACCCCGAAGACAAGTTCATTACGCCTAGGCCACCGCCACCAGTGCCTGGCGGTCAAATCCGCAGACTGGGCTCCGCACCGGCCGCACAACCTACCAGAGCCATTTCCCGCACCGGCTCTACGTCTCCTCCGCCATCTTGGCGTCGCATGTTCAACAGGAAGCCATCTACCAGCCGGCTTGCTGAACGCGGTCGTCAACCCGACGATGAGGACCGCCCTCTTTCACCGTACTCTGGGTCTTCTTCGGACGACAACAGAAGCCCAGGTTCATCAGAAGGAAGCCGCACTCGCGACCTTTCCCCAGAGTCCCTGAGGCGATTCCTTTCCGATGAGAATCCCTTCGCCAGCGCTTCCTCCAGCGCCTTTGGGCGTCCGCCTGTCGCCATCCCCGACGATATCGCCGAGGAGGGAGATGATGATGAGAACTTTGCCAACTCGGCCTACGAGATCAACCCCTACACTACCAGCCTGTCACCACCGCCCTTCCAGCGCTCTCACTCTGACAGCACCCTGCCGGTAGTGCACGCACCGAGGTTTCTCACTCGCGAGAAGAAGTACTCGCCTCTTCCTCCGCTACCTGTCAATAAGGCACTGAGGGACCTGGCAACGGCACCATCCGCCTCGCGCTTCTCCTTCTCGTCTGACTCCAGCGTCGCCTCCTCCATCGGCCCTATCTCTCCCGAGGATGACACCCCATCCTTTTACGACTCTACCGAAGAGGATCGCTACTCCAACGAGAGCGACGCCAACTTTGTCCAGCCCCTGTCACTTCCCAGCACGAGGAAGCCGTCTCTGGAGCAGAACTACAGCTTGCCCCGGGCTCCCGGAATCAAGGTCCACCCTGGCGTCCACACCATGGTCGCCGCCCCTGCTAATAACGGCCTCGATGACTTGGTCAACGAGATGGGCTGGATGGTTGATGTCATCCGCGGCAAGGGCATCTAAACAAACAACTACTACGCGGGTCACACTACACGGTGACTTTGCACTACCGTCGTATATATTGATGGCCTAGCACACGCACGGCCACCTCGACGGATTACATATTAGGTTATACAAAAAGGCGGCATCGCATCAGCCTTCCCCATTGGGGCTCAGGGCTGGCCAGCTCGAACTTACCAAGGAATAGGAGTTTTGGACGGAGTACTGGACGAGATATACCCTTTCCTTCCCCCTTCTACAGCTACTACCACTCATGGCTTTCATGCCAACGGCGCTTTATGGAGTGGACATTTTGAGGAATTTTGGGGGCAACGGAACGGAAATCACACAGGAAAAAGGTGGGAAATGGGAACGGCGCAAATGTGGTACACATTACCATGGTGTTTGGAGTATCTGGGTCGGATTTGTCGTGGCTGCATTCAAGCAAGCTCATTGATGGGAAACGGTACTCATGCAAGCGAACTAGCGTTGCCAGTTTAGGAAGAACGAGATCGTGATAGATCAATGAAACATCTACAATGACTCAAGAAGCATGAAACTCCTTCTCCCTCTCTGCCCCATATGTCAAGTGACAGACACCGTTGTGTCAGTTCTCTCAATGCCCCGGGTTAAGCCGCCGGCTGTTAAATTACGGCATGGGGCCACTGACAGATTTAGCCTTTTACGAAAGTAAGCAAACTTGGCTCCTTTTCGAGGCTTGGGCTCAATAAGCTTCTTTCCGCGTGAGTGACTCGATCATCTGTGCACCCGCGGCTGGGAGTTTCAGAGGGTTCGAACTTCGGAGGGGTGGACGGTGGAAGTTCGCTGTGAGGCTCGGCCGAGGCCTCGTACGAGCTGGATGGGGTATTACTGCGATTGGATGGGATGTGAGAGAGAGAAAGAGTTTGTGTGTGTGTTTTCCTGCATGGGTGTGTATATGTGGGTGTGTGTGCTTAGATAAGAGTACGTGTGTGCCTAGATATGAGTGTGTGGATGGAGGAAGGTTGTTGGATGGACGAGCTTGGGGATGGAGCAAGAGTAAGCGGGAAAAAGATGCTTAGCATGAGCATTTAAGCCAGTGGGAAAAGACTTCCAAAAGGGGAAATGTGTTCATCAAACCATCATAGAAGCTTAGCCATGCAGGTCATTGGGTTTTCTTCTTGGGATAAGGTACGGTGTGGAATGAGGAGGAGGAGGAGGAGGAGGAGGAGGAGGAGGAGGATGACGACGATGCGTAGTTGGTCAATGGACTGGGTTCCCGACGGACGGGCGTTTATCCTTCTTCTCTTTTTCCGTGACTTTCTTTCTCTTCTTGTTGTTCACGATGTTTACCTTGGGAAAGCGGCCGCAAATTGGCCGGCACTTGGGTCTAAGGCGAGGCATCTCGAGGCTTTTACTCGCTAGTTGAAGACTCTGGGAGAGATGTATGTAAAGTCAAGTATATTCCTTCTGATTGGGTCCCATGGTTCCAAGATATCAGCTTTAAATTCCTCTTTGTCGTTTTCGTCTTATTCATTCATTTGACGGGCAGATTCTTGGACTTTTCGTCTCCAGCGAGCGTCGTCATGGGCTTCTGTCACTCGGCGTGGTGAGTATTCTCCTTGCCCTACTTGCCGTGTTTTCCCCGATCAAACCCGAGGAGAAGGACGACATGTATTCAGATACGATGGTCCGTTCCCCTCTGTGTGTCTTCCGGTGATGGTGTCTTAACACGTGTGTGCTCAAGGGGACTCACTCGTAGGAGGAGAGGGGAAGGGTGAGTGTGAAAGAGGGGGTCGGAGATGGAGGAAGAAGCAGTTGAATTACAATCCGATTCACCCAACGAGACCCCTCAAACGGCCTCTCTCTAAGGTAGCGTACCTTTCATTCTCATCGGCATATTCTTCGCCAAGTGATGTCAACGTCGGAAACGAAAGAAGAGTTAAGACGGGAGATGAGGAGATGCGAATATTTCAGCGAGGTATAGGTGTGGGTGTTCCTATATTTGCGAAATCATCCTCATCCAGACCCATTCATCCAGGTATCCAGGTATGCGCCCACACCAGCCAGGCACCAGGCACCAGGCACAAAGACTCAAAATCTGGATGGTGGATTGTAGGACTTGTAGCGGTTGCTTATTCTTCATGCCCAATCGGCGACCTGTGGGATTGGGATTAGGATGGGTGGGAGTGAAGGCTCAGACGAGGGGAAGGGGAGAAAGAAGACGGAGGGTATTACTGAGACCGCAACACTGTTAATCATGGGACGACGATGTATTAGTGAGCGCAAAAAAAAACTTGATGATGTGTGTATACGTACGTACGACTTACATTGCAGATAGAAAGCTACGCGAAGCAAGATCAGGTACGACTACGAGGAACGAATGAAAGCTTCGGACGGTGGGGAGGGGGAGGAGACGGGAATCCGATATCGAATCCGAAAGCTTGGGATGGTTGTGTGTATGTGTGGTATGGTACGGGTTGGCTTAGCCAAAGTGAAGGTTCAGGGGTCGAATGGTTCAGGGGAAGAGGGTGAAGCATGCTTTGACGAGGCTCAACGTCGGATGTGAACCGTGTCAACAGCCTTATTTCCTGCAATGCTACCATAGTACTCTCCTCTCCTACACTGCGCGCGTGTAAAAGGATGTATGGGTAGGTGTGTCTGCGTGCGAGTACGTAGATAGATGCATGGGATGGCGTGGTGTAGCAAAATGCAACACACGTAACTTCATCCCTCCCCCAACTCCCATCCACCACCCACACAGCGTTTGATGGTGTTTTCGACCACAGATTGGATTTCTGAGCCTTACTGCGTCCTACGGCGTTACATTTCCTCGTACCTCCCCCCCCATCTTTTACTACTTCCCTACCCCTGACCTGTCGGCCTCTTCCTGACCATGCGTTCCTACATACCCGCACCCATCACGACTCAGGTCCCCCAAAACATAAGAAAAAGTCGAGACCTGTACTTCGCATTAGACTTTTCCCTCTTTACTACGGTAGTATACGCCTGTGCGTTGTAAGTGGTCTGCTTGTAGGATTATACGTAACTACGTAACCGCGCCCTGGTCTGAACAAGAAACCATCCCAATATTTTCGGCGCGCGCGAGAGAAAAAAAAGAGATCTGGTGAAAAAAGTCAACCACTACACCCCCAACGTCCAAACATGTTCTTGAATAACGTTTTTCATGCCCTCCAGGCAGCCGTACCACCTACCCATCCTACCTTGGCCAGTCTTCTGGTTTGGTCTACTTTCGTTCTGCTTCCCCCCCTTTCGTGCTTCATCATCCAGCTTCCGAGGGCCCCTTGATACCATTGAATTGTGTCATTACGCACGATGTGGGAGAAAATCTCAAAGAGACTTTGGGGACACGGAGGAGAAACAAAGGGGGAGGGGGACTTATCGTCGGGCTTTTCTTTCCCGGCCGAAAAGACTCACCCGGAGTACCTTGGAGTACCGGAATTCTATTTTACTGTTCACGAGATTGCTCTATACCATTGGACTGGACCCTTTGTTCTAATGTGGTCGTCACAAATCTCTAATTGGTGATACACAGGAATAATATCATACCACGATGACCGGTAATGCGCAATACGTACAGCACAGACAAAGGTGAGAGTGAAGCAGTTGATCAATTCTTCTCAGAGCACTTCCGAGACGTCAGGTCGTCTTCCTCACAACGCCCTGCGGGTATTGTCACAATAGTAATACAGCATTCCCGTCCCATCCCACACGAAAAGGCCATATATAACGCCGTACCCAATACAGCAACGGCCTAACAAACGCCCGTGAACATCGGGGACCTCGAAAAGTGAGCCCAGTCCCATGTTTTTGACTTTCCCTCCTACCCTCCTTCTGAGCTCCCCATGTGTATGTGTGTAGGTATGTGCCTTGTTTCGGCCCACTCTCTCCGATCTGATCGGTCGGAGCCTATAATTGTTCAGGGCGCAGGGCAAGCCGTCCGATAAAAACCCTCAAACGGCCATGGCTTTTTCGTTCCCGTTAACGTTTTTTTTTCTGCTCAACTACTCAGGCGGGACGCCCGTAGAGTTTGTCCTTACTCAGACAGCAGTCGCGACCGAAGCGGCGGTGGGTTGTGGGGCGGACTCGGCGACGGCCGGCTTCGCTTCCTTGTCCTGGGTTGTTTGAACTTCGCCTGGTGGAGGTGGTTGCGGCGCTTGCAGCTGGGCTGGCGGCAGCGGCGGCTGCTGCTGCGTCTGCTGCTGCGTCTGCTGCTGCGTCTGCTGCTGCGTCTGCTGCTGCGTCTGCTGCTGCGTCTGCTGCTGCGTCTGGGCCTGCGGTTGCGCCGCTGACGGTGACGGTGAAGGCACCGTCGCGGCATCCCCCTTGGTTGTCGGCCCATCCACCACTCCCTCCTGAGCGGGCGGTGTCGTCTTGGCATCATTGGGTTCCTGCTTCTCGGTGCCCTCCCCGACGGCGCCGTTGGCCGTCTCTGTCTCTGTAACCTTGGCCTCCTCCTTTTCCACCTCCTTCTTTTTTGGCTGTCTTGGCGGACCTCCCTTGAGGAACCGTTCTGGCACCCCGCGAGCGGCATATGTGCAGCTGCCGACCCATGCGCCGAGCAGGCTGCTCCACTTGTACTCGCCGCGGCGGAGGCGTTGGATTTCGCGGTATGCGTAGGCGTTGAAATAAGGTAAACCCGTCTCAGGGTCGCGGTAGCGAGCGGGGTGGGCGGTAATGACACATACTGGTCGGGGCGCTGGCTTCGCAAGGCGGTCCATCCGTCGTCCAAAGAGAATCTGGGTCTGGACTGTCTTGTCACGCACACGCTCTTCGTCAAAGTTGCGGAGGATAAAGGCGTTGCGAGCGACCTCGCTTGGAGGAGGCTCCTCGGGCGCTGGTGCCTCTGCCGGCGCAGGCGGCGCAGGCGGTGCGGAAGGAGAGGGATCGACCGCGGGTTGTGGCGCAGGCGGTGCGGGAGGAGAGGGATCGACCGCGGGTTGTGATGGAGGTTTGGGCGGAGCGATTGGTTTTATCGGCTGGAGTGGTGCTAGTGAGGGAGGCGGCGGCGGCGGTCTTGCTGACGGAGGAGGGGGAGGGGCCGGCATGGAGAGAGGAGACTTGTGCTGGCATGCATTAGGAGGCGCCAGAACATTGGACTTTGGCTGCGTCGTGTGTTGGGCTAGGTGAATGCCGCCCAAGGGAGGGGCGAGAACAGGCGGCGCAAGCACTGGAGCTGCCAACACCGAACTCTTCGGAGGTGGCGAAATAGGGGGAGGAGCCATGGGCGAGGATCCAAAGGTCGGCGGCGGAGGCATTGATGGCGGTGCCATCATCCTGGATTTGTCTTCGGGTTTGGGCATGGCGAGTGACGATGATGGCGGTGGAGGAATGGGCGGGGGAGCCATTACACGGGGACGGTCTTCCGTCTTCACTGTCGGTGTAGGGTCTGTCGGGACGGGCGTCGATGGCGATGGCGATGGTGCCTTTGGAGTATCGTTCTGCTGAGGTTGTTCGACATCCGTTGACGTCGGAGGAACTGGCGGAGCATTAGGTTTTGTGTTCGGTTGCCCCTCTGCTGTTGCCTCTGTTGTCGATGCAGGCAGCGTCGGCTCAGAAGCATTCGACGCTGAGCCGTCCTCCTTGCCATCCTTCTGGTCCTTCTCCTTGCCCTTCGTTTTGTCGACCTTTTCCTTCTTCTCTCTCTTCTTCCGAACGGGCTTCTCCTCCTCAGCGACCCTGCCAACGTGCTTCAGATGATGCTCCCACTCGCCGATGCCGCTCCAGTACGTCACCACAGGGCCCTTGAGTGTTCGGTTGTTGAGCGCGGCGAGCTTCGCAAGCCTCTCTTCTTCTCGCGCTTTTTCGGCCACCTCCCATCTGTTCAAAGACTTTGCGTTGCGCTTCTCCACGAGGGCCGCCTCAGCCAGCCGTTCCGCCTGTGTCATGGGCGGTTTCTTCGACGCCTCGAGCTTCTTTGCCTTCTTCTCCATGATGGCCACCTGTTTCAACCGCTTCGCCTCGCGTTCCTTCATCTGTTGGTGCAGCTGCTCTTTGCTAAGCATCGTCGTCTGGCGGAGCGAGGCGCGGATGGGCATGTCAGCCGCCGAGGGCAGCCAACTCGTTCGTTCCGACTTCTTCTTCGGTCGCGGCGCGGGCGCGGCGGTCTGTTCGATGCGGACCTTTTTTCTGAACTTGGCCGGGATAGCTTCCTGGGCCTTGCGTTTCCGCGACGCCAGCTTCTTATCCCTGGCCTGCTTCTCGAGCTCCTTTTCTCCCTCCAGGTCGTCCCCTTGTTGCTGGTCGTCCTCGTCGTCGGACGAAGAGTCCATCTGCACGTCGGAACCGGCATCGTCGACGTCGCTGAAGCCTTCGTCGTTGTCGTCTTCGGCGAAGAGCAGTTCGAGGTCCGAGTCGGGTTCTTCGTTGGCGAGCATCGACTTCATGCGGTTACCGGCGGTAGACCGCTTTGATCGACCGGTCGCGAGCCATTCTACCGTCGTCGGGGTGGCGACTGTCGGGGTCTCATTTTCGCTGTCGCTGCCGCTAGAGTCCGAAGACTCATCGCGCGATGAAGGTTTGGTGCCGTTTGTGGTCGTAGCCATCGCGTCGGTCGAAATGGAAAGTGTCGATTTGGGCCCTTAGCCCATCTCTGCCGCGCTGTGAGGGGTGCGGCGTGCAAAGCCGGCGGCCTGTTCGAGTAAAATAAGTTGCGTGGGTAGAATTTTGACGTTGATGGTGCTTGAAGAGCAAAGGCGGGAGACGCGTTCTGGGGGGGGAAAAAATTGTAGATGCAGCGGCCGTCGCGGCACTTGTGACGTCTGACAATTCGACTTTCCAAGGACCTCCCGACAAGGTACCAACTACAAGCGAATCGGGAGTTAGCGGGCAGCGGGCAGCGACCAACGGCCCCGAGTCCCTCAGTGGGGCTTAGGGGGCGTCACCTCCGTGCGCCGTCACCCGGGGCAGAGGCCAATGGTGAGACTGGCTAACACCATTTGTGTGGCGTTGGTATTCGTAAAGTAGGGAGATCGTCGTTAGAGAACGTGAGAATCTGATGTCCTGAGGATTTCTACATGTCAAGCTTATTTGCATAGATTCCTATGACTTGTAATTGCTAATCTGTGGCTGGCATTGCCAGCTCCTATGTGTAATCCGTTCCGATGACCAAACGCCGCCTGCTAATTCATGTAATGCTCCCGCATCCCTTTCAACCCAAAAGTACAGGTAAATCCAGACCTATGCAAACCTCACATCTCTTCGCTCCAGCTCTCGCCCGCCTGAGTCCACTCTTTACACCATCCGAACCAGTACCTCTTATTGCAACGAGGATCCGTAGGGGGTACCTTCGTGGGCGCTGATGTGGGAGTAGCCGTGGGAGCGGCAGTGATGGTGTGAGACGGGGTCGCGCCAGGGAACAAAGTCGCGCTCGTGGTCGACGTAGTCTTATCATTACAGCCAAACCATCCAGGTGTCTTACAAGTGGTCGTTGTTGTTGAAGTCGTAGTTGAAGACGAAGTAGTGGTGGTAGTGGTTGTCTCGTCCTTGCATCCAAACCATCCGGGGGTCTTACAAGTGGACGTGGTCGACGTAGAAGTAGTAGTCGTGACCGGCGTCGTCGTAGTCTCATCCAAGCAACCCCACCAGCCCGGCGTCTGGCAGGTGGCTGTTCGAGTACGCGTTTTCGATGTTGTCGAGGACTTGGACGTCGTTGTCGATTCGGTGCCATTGCTCTCGTACATCTTCCAGTTGGCACAGTCGCGACATTCGGGTGTAGCCTTGCAAACTGGAACCGTGTCATACTTCATGATGACATCGTGGATCACAGATCGGATCTTGTGGGTTCCAATGCCGACTCTCCATCCCTTATCGGCCACAACGTCGTAGACACACTCAAGCCCGGAGTGGCAAGCCGATTCCATGGCATATCCAGCAAAGGAGCACGTCGCAGTAGCGCCATTACAGGTGCCAATGTAGATGGGGTCTGCCGTGTGGCCAAAGTGGAAAGCGCCCGTATCTGTGCGAGCCTGGTGAAGCATCTGGTCGTATCCCGGAGGAACAGGCAAACCGAGTCTGCTAGCAGCGAGGGCCTCTGGCACGGCCTCAAAGGTCACGACGGGGATACCGTAGGTTAGGCCCAGGAGGGAGCTGACGGCACCCCCGAGGGAATGGCCCGAAAGCCAAATGTTGGAGTCGGGGAACAACTCAGTAACGTTTGAGTACAGTTCCTTGGCCGCCGTGTAGTATCGGTGCTCATCCCTGAGCGCCTGCACGACGCAGGTGTTGTTGCATGAGTAGGTGGATGTGGCGCAGTCGCACACTTGATGCCAGGTCCACTGCCCCTGCTGAGCACAACAGCAGCTAAAGAAGAGGTTGTCATTGACCTTGTCGTTGGTTGTGGTTCCCTCTCCGTCAAAGATGGCTGTAGAAGTTCCCTTGAGGCCAATAACAATAGTCGAATTGCTCTCGTCTGCCCAGATGTGTCCCCGGAGTCCGTCGCCTTCCCATCCGAAATCAGCGCTTCTGTTGTAGCCGCTGCCGACATCTTCCCAGTCCGCCTTGCCCTCCTCTTCGATATATGCGTTGGCAGCCATGATGGCAAGGCTGATGACCGTGGCCTTGTCTGTGATGTTGGGTCCGGGAACCTCGTCGGTGGTCCAGTCGGATGGCGACATGATGTTGACAAAGCCGCGCTGACGAGCTTCGGTAACCATGGGATCGACGACAGACGGCCGACGGTCGACCATGCGCTCAATCTTGAGAGGCGTGCTTTGTGCCTTCAAAGGCATCACCCTTTCCCTCTTGTATCCGTCCTCCTCCGCCAGCCAGACCTGGTTATCGGCGCCGTCGGAGTGGCGGACATCCTTGCGCCGGTGCAGCTGAGGATGCCGATACGTGCCATGGTGGAAAATGTGTCGTAATGTAAAAACATGCTCGCCCGAGTTGGGTTGTGCGGTGCTGGGTGGAAGCAGTGGCCCTGGTTGAAGGACGGCCTCATCGTTGTTTGGCACTTCCCCAACGGAAGCTAGAGTCGGTGATACCGCGAGGAACGATAAGAGCAGCTGTGCCGTAACCCTGCCAGTAGAGCTACACTGGCCTCCTCGCCCTAGTTTGAGTCTCATGGTTGTCTCAAGACGCAAGAAAAATGGCGCATTCAGGTAGAGCGGTTGGTGAAGAGTAAGGAGCGAAAGTGTCGAGATCTGGGGTCTCGCGGAAGGTGACGCGTGGAGGTAGGTGAGTACAAGAGGATCAATGATGCCGACGTTGAAATACGCAGACAACGTGCACCCAAGTTATGACAGCATCAGGTGGACGACGCTGGCGGCTGTTTACGTTGCCTCCGACTCGCGGAGGGTGCACAGGTCAGGCCCGATAACCCACTTCATGCGCCAAAAGGTCTCCGCCTCCGGATCTGCGTTACAACTTTGTACGGGCGAGACTGCAATCGGCTTAACAATTACCCTTGGCGGGTACCCATAGTCTCATGTCCCCTGATAAGGCGCAATCAGGGATACCCGCACCAGCATGTGACCAATGTCCCCTCAGATAGCGCGCATGTCTTCTGTATTCGGAGCTGCCTGGTGCCTGACATCCACCGTTCCACGCCACTTTGGGGGGCCATCGAGGGGCATCTTCAGCGGACCTTCGGCTACTCAACGATCCCGTCGCAACCCGTCCGGGTTGCTGCCATCATCCATGGCCCAGTGGAAGGAGACGCCCAACATTGATGACATTCCGAGGCACCATTTATGCTTCGGAATAAGGTACGTTGGGCAAGGTACCAAAACAAGCCTATCACTGATCAGGATCCAGGAATCAGGACCGTAACCAAAGTACAGCATCCATACTGAATACATACCTATGTATTCGTACGAAGTACAGAGGCTATGAGGCCCTGAGGCCCTTAGGCCAAGACATCTGTCAGTCACCCTCGTGCCCCCCAGCACATGCATGCACTGAAGGTCGGATCCGTCTGCATATGACACCTGGGCTTCCAATAAAACTTGAGCGGGGACATGGCGGGAGCTACCTTGTCTTCCTTACCGACCATAGCTGGCATGCTCGGTTGGTTACCTGCGTTACCTTCCTTTCATGGCAACGGCCTAACCTGAAGCTCCTCAAAGACCAACAATCCTCAAAACCTCATTACTCTCGCCCCCGTCCTCGCCCTCGTCTTTGCTTTGCACTGGCACAAGGCATCCCGTGCACCCCATCGACGGCACTGACATCATTTTGTTAGAGATGCGAATAGAAACATAGCTGCCATCTTGGGCCATCTTACGAGCCATTATCCCTGTTCTCTTGCTCCATTTATGGCATAAATCTGTCCCGCGTGCCACAACCAGGGATCTCTTTCCTCTGATATCGGGTTTCAAGATCGCTTCCACTACTTAATGCCGCCTTGACAACATCAGATCAGGTACGTTTACTTGTCAGCCCCAAGTCGGCGCCTGACAATCCCTTCTTTTTCATCTCCAGGACCTCAAACTGACTGAAGAAATGGCTTCCAGCATCGTCGAAACCATGTCGTCAACCGGCCCCTCCAAATCCCCAGCTCCTCGTCCCAATACGATACGTGCGCCTTCCTTCACTCGCCAGAGCGAAGATAGCGATCCTCTCCGAGTCCCGAAAGCTCAAACATTCCAGAATGGCACTGCGGCCGACCCGTTGGCGACGACTGCGACCGTCGCCAGCAAGGCCCAGCAGAAGCCAGCAGACGAGACCGAGGGCCCTGATGCTTTCGAGACGGCCGGAAGGCCGTCAACAGACAACGACGACGGATTCGACGGCAGAGGCTCTGTGGACCTGGGTGAGCTTCCAATTGAGCTAGTTAGTCTGACCGACAGGTATGGCGCACCCTCCCCCTTCGGCCTCACATCAAATACTGATCTCGTACAGCTTCGTCGAGTCTCTCAGCTCTAGAACCCACCCCGCGCCTTTGAACATCGACAAAGTCTCTGAATTATTCCAGGATTTCTACCAAGTCGCTTCCACCCATGTCAACACACACATCTCTAGCCTAATCACACGGCATAATCGGGATGCTTCGCCTGCGCCGTCCGCGTCATCCAAGGTCTCCACAGCTAGCAGGCTTCGAGCCAAGGCGGCTTCCCTCGGAAGCAAGGATAAACCCAAAAATCTCCCCAAACCGGAGCCGGAGCAGCAGATGATCACCGCCGAAGAACTCGCCAACAAGAAGAAGGCGCGGAAAGCAATCGAAGCCAAGCGGGGCATCATCGAGGAGGCAGTGGAGCGCAGATTATGCGAAGGCATATACAATAAGATCTATCGCCACAAGAGCACCCAAGACGAAGCGCAGGATTCAAAGCTGCGATCCAAGACCGCGGCACTCGCGCTGGTCGGCATTGGACCGGCCGACCTGGGAATCGACCTTGGCGACGATGCATCGCAGACGCCCGAAGCGGCTGCAGAGAAGGCCGAAGAGATCAAGAAGTCGCTTGAGCAGGCCAGAAGAGACTTGATTCTCATGAACGAGAAGCGATATCCGCTTGGCAAGGTACATCACTTGAAAGCAGCACACAAGGATATTGTCGAGACTCTCGCGCAATTCCACCCGTCTGCATCTGCAGATGAGATTATGCCTATGCTCATCTTCACCCTCATCACGCTTCCTCCTGAACATCTCAACGTTATTAGCGACCTGCACTTTATTCAGCACTTTAGATGGGAGCCGAAATTGACGGGCGAGGCTGCTTACTGCTTGACGAACCTGGAAGCAGCCATCAGCTTCCTCGAGACGGTCGATCTGTCAACGCTAAGGGCCGATGAGTTACCCCAAGGTCCTGCCAGAGGTATGAGCCAGCCGGGCACTCCGCGGGCTGAGACTTTCCCCCCAGCGTTCCCGCCTGGACTGACGGTAACGGCGGATCCTTCGGTGGAGACCGACTCTGGCAATGCCACGCCAACGAGACCGCCTGCGTCGCCTTCAGCATCAGCCGGGCTACGTGCTGCGGTTCAAGCTCGGAATAGAAGACTGAGCGAGCTCGTCAACACGCCTGCCCAGGCCATTGGTGCCGCAAGTGATGCCGTGCTCAACACGGCCGATCAACACATAAAGACGATTTCGACGAGCTTGGGCGATAGCTACAAGTTCCTGGTCGGCAAGTTGCGCGAGACACAGGGAACCCCGACTGAATCAGGCCAGGGACTCGTCGTGCCTAAGACGCTCGATGATGCTCGAAAGCTGATGAGCACCCCACCTCCTGAGGAGGAAGGGTCTGTTAGTGGTGCCAGCTCAGTTCATGGCACGGAGGAGGCCGAATCTACTCGCCGACCTGCGGTCCGCGAAGACAAGGTTCTCAACCTCATCGGTGGACGCAAAGTCAGTCGAGATCACAGCGCAGACAGCTCGCGAAGCGTCAATAGCTCCAGGAAGGTGCTCTTTGCCAAAGAAGGGGAGAAGGATCTGCCGACGCCGTCTCCTGGAAACGCAACCAACCCTCTTGACTCAGTGAGGAACTTTGGCAACTCCTTTTCCAGGTTTTCCGGCATGAGCATGATCAGAGGTCTGAGCCGGACCGCATCCACGCCCATTGTGGCGAAGGAAGCACCCAAGGATATGGCCAAGGATGGTATAGCTACCAAGGTAGCTGACGGTGGCGACCTGGCAAGCGTATGTACTCTGACCACAAGCATTAAGACCATTTACTGACTCTCGTAGGCCTTCCCGGACATTGCAGCTGCTTTACCGCCTAAGCAGACACCAAAGATCAGTCCGCCGAACAAGCGTTTCATGGAGATGCAGAACCCCGGTGACCTGAAGATTGGCGAGGTTCTTGAATTGCTGCGCGACTACCGACGGCTGGCAACTACACTCAAGGACATGGGGGCCTTTGAGGGGTCCAAGTGAGGAAACGAAGTGGGGAGGTTTAGAAGAAACGTGAAGAGATAAGATACGGCCTAGACAAAGCTTGCTGCACTCATTTGTAGGATTCTTGTGGGACATGGGTAAGCATACTGGACAATGGCGTTTTGATTTTTGTACTACTGTCTTCTCTCCAAACAAAAGCCTGGCCAGCCATTCTGGGTGGGAGTGGCTCTGCCTGAGCTTGAAGTACCTACCGCTAGGGAGAGGGAGTGGGGGCAATACTCAGACTTGGAGGGCCGTGTTCGAGAGACGGCCGAATACACACAAATAGGTACACACATACACACGTTACACAATGGAAAAGAGATTCTGTCTATATGAGGCTGGGTGAAGTTTCTGTGGAAGCAAAGTCAGTGAGAGAGCATGCTGTGATCGAAGAAGTGGTGTAATGTTGAGGGGACACCGGCGTGTATGACCAGCGAGCGGTACGGGTGTCTTTCGTCTATGCCGAGTCGTCGCGGCGAGCAGCGTGGGGCGTCCTCGGTCCATTGGGTAGGGTAGCCGGCTGCCCTCCTGCGGTCGTCGTCCGACAAGAGGCTCGCGTGGTAAACGGGGGACATCGAGAGCTCGGCTGCGAACTGCGCTCGCAGTTGGGCGATGGCACACCGAATTCTCAGGTGAGGTGGTGTGAGCTCTACTTTCATCTTTGGTGGCTGCTTCGGCGGCGCTTTGCGCATATTTTCTTTACATAATGTAATAGGCGTGATACGCTTCCACAACGACCCTTCTCCTTAAGAACCACGTCTCTTCGGATGATCGTAACTGGCAAGTTGGGTGACGAAATGAGTTTGCTGCTCAGTCTCTGTTCCCACTACAATCATCATCGCTATTTGCTCCTTTAGTTCGTGGGGCGTCTTTTGCTTTCCATGTATTCCTTTGAGAATAAATTCTAAGAAGCTTGAAAAGGGGGATGGAGCTTCGCGCGCGAAAGGGGGGCCCCAACTTGGGCAACATGGCCCAGATACGTCACAACGGGCCATGACGACTACCAAGCACTAGCTAGATCGGTACACACATCATCCGAGAGGGTCGCTGAACCAGACATCCGTGCGGAACACATATTGTACTTTGCAAGAAAGCGTTTTAAAGAGGGACGGGGAGAGTAAACGCCTGTATCCGTTGACTCATTGAAAATGTAGAAAAGCAATATGTAAGTCGATGAGCAAATTACCGACATCGAGACGGCCTGGGAATGAGGGAGACTATGCCTCGCATCCAGCAACAATAGGTTGAAGACCTGTAAGGTAGGAGTTGTCTTTCTACTCTCACTTGGACCAGATGAATTTAAGACGATGCTCTACTATCTGCGCGCCTAGATTCCTCGAACGATGCTATAGTGTGCTATACCTTGAATATGATGCTTGAGATGCCACTTCACTGTCAGGCAAACCAATCTCAGCCAAGCTGGATTGTGCCACACCAGCATGCCAGCATAATACAGACCCCAGTGTTCGCTTTCTGTTATATATATATATGTAAACGAGTATGGGACAGAAGTATCCGTGATGAATTGTCTGTGAAGATTTGTTTTATTTTTTATGCTATGCCTTGCCTGCTTGCTTGCTTGCTCGATGGGGTGCCGTTATATTTAAAAGAGGAGTAAAAGGAAATGCCTCGTGCGGTTTGTTTTTTTTTGGAGAGAGAAGAGAAGAAGCCTGCCCACCCGTTGACCCTCAACCTCCCATCGACCTGACCGTTGCCCGTGGAGGTGTTCCCTCGTGTTATTGGTTGTGTTTGTTTTTTTGACTTTCCTACAAATTTGTCCTTTTCCACACCTGTTGTTTTTGTTTTTGGGTTACTTGAATTTTACTTCTTTTTTATATGTACCGCCTCTCATCCCCTCAGTGGTTCCCATTCATCTTGGACTCCTTGGGCGGCAGCATACTAGCACGGTTCGTACGCTCCTGCAAGACGCCGCTGGGCACGCCGGCGCCCTCCTTCTCGTCACTGATGAGCTTGTCCATGAAAGCAATGTAATCATACTGCGGCATCCCGCGGTCCTCAGACGTATCGGGCCCGTTGTGCGGCGGGATGATCTCAATGAGCTTATCAATGACCTCGTCAGGCACAAGGGAGTGACGGAGATCCATCTCGGTAACGTAGGGCTTCCCGTCGGCGACCTCGCGGAAGGACTGGAAGACCTGATCGGCGGTATTCTGGTCCTCCGTGACGTCGACCATGAAGCGGATAAACTGCTCAAAGGTGACGTGGTCGCGGCCGTGCGAGGTATCCATAAAGTAGTCGTGCATCTCGTCCTCGGAGAAGACGAGACCAAGGGAGGCGAGGGCGGCGCTGAACTCGAGCTCTTGGAGCGAGTTGGTGTCGTCGCGGTCAAAGTGGCGGAATACGGACTCGAACTCCTCGAGTTGGATGGGCGTGAGGTTGGTCATGTTGCGGGCAACCATTTGGTTGTCGAGGAAGGCGAGCTTCTTCTGCACCGAAGACTTA